TTGCTTCATTTCCTGTCATGTTTTAAACATTAAGTATCAAGGTCCAGGTGGGGTCGGGAGGGAGTCTCAAGAGGGAGGGGATATATATAGACTTGGGATATATGTATCACTTCAGTTCAGTGGCTCAGTTGTGTCCGACTGCGACCCCATGAATCGCAGCATGCCAAGCCTCCCTGTCCATCACCAATTCCTGGAGTTTATTCAAACTCATGTCCATCAAGTTAGTGATGCCATCCAGCCATCTCAGCACAAACCAATACAAATTATAAAGCAATTATTGTCCAATTAAAGTATCAAGGACTGTGGAATGGAATGGCTCTAAAATAGCTTTTCATATGTGTGGTTGAGATGAAGTATGGTTTTTGCTTAAAGCAAAGTATTTTGTTTTATATATGTAATATAATCAGGGAACCTCAGAAAGAGAGTTAACAGCATTTGAAACAGGTACAACTTGAAAATAACTCCTTTGTTTTTGCTTAACTGGCATACAAATATATCTGGTCTTCATGGTGTATTAAAATACTGCACTTGTCTTTTGATAAACCTTTTGTGCAGTCTTCAAGTGTTGAAAAAGATCCTACACAATTTTAAATGAATTTGCTTATAAACATTTTGGTGTGTACTGAAATACTATTTCCTTGGTGTATTAAGTACTGTGGACTTTGGCTTTAATTTTTATTATGTATATACTTTTAACTTGCTGAATTTAAACACATGGAATTTCTCTTCCTTTTTGTGGTATGTAATCATTGGTGTGTGCAGGAAGAAATTTTTCAACTAGTGATAGAATTGTATGACTTAAATTTAATAGGCCTTATTATGTATCATTACCAATTTTAAGATTTCTGTTGAATCTGCGTTAATGGATGAATGACTTGGGCAGAGAGAACTTAAGGTTGTTCAGTTGGTATTTTTCATTTCTGGAGTTGGATGCTTTATTTGCCTGGTGTGCCTGATAAAAGAGATGGTAAATCATAATCGAGGTTAAGAGTGACCTAGATCTTAATGGGTTTGAATCCTGGCTTTACCATTTATCTACTTCATGACTTGAGTGAACTACTTTAACTCTGGCTCCAGTGTTTCCCTGTAGGGAGCAATAAATGAGTTAATACATGTAAAGTGCTCTCAGCAGCACCAAGCATCGAGTGATTGCTCAGTAAATTTTCACATGACTCTTACCTTGAAGTTCCAGTCTTGATAACAGACCATCTCCTTTGGTCATACTCCAAATAGAAATTTTTATTGTTTGGGTAGTTTCCACTGATGAACAGGAAAGTAGCTTTAATGTATTGTATCTTGGAGGGAAAGGTCAAAAGCTGCCTGTGTTTATTATTTCATTCCTGAGTTTCAAGTGTCTTACGTCTTAATGCTGGACAAGTGCAGGTGCCTAAGAATTCTTGAAGATGGAGAACCCAGCTTTTGGCAAAAAGCTTGCTGAGTACTGCCAAAGAAGGGTAATTTTATGGGCAGACAACTTGGTAAAGCCCAAGATTATAAGAAAGTTTCTGTGTCTCTACTTGAACATTATTTTCAGAGTGTTTTATGAAGGTAGCAAAAAAAGAAACGCCTTAACATTTTTTGACATGTTTTTAGGTACTTAATGTGCCAGAAACTGACAGGTATTTTATATGCATTATAGTTTTTATCATCACTCCATGAGACAGGCACTTGTTATCCCCACTTACACAGTAGTAAATGTGCTTAAAAGGGTCCTGTAAAAAGCAAAGGGTTGGCAAACGTTCGAGCTGCCCTTCAGGTGCTGTCATTAAAGCTCTCCTGAACGTGTTGACCTCAAAACTGGCTACTGACCCAAGTCTGATGCCAAGAGCTGATTCTTGACTCTGTGCCCTTCTGCCTCCCTTCATCCTCTAGAGTAAGAGGGAAACAATGTACCTGAGCTTCTAAGGAGGATACTTCACAGGCCGCCTGTATGGTCACTGTGGTAAACGGGTCGGAAGCAGTCCCCAAACGGCAATGCAGTATGGAAAAAATGCAAACCATGAAGATTCTAAGTATATAGTTCAAGATGCTAGCTATGGTAAGAGGGTTTAGTTAATCTCTCAGAAGTGTTAATTTTAGCCCTTGAAGGAAATGATACCAGTTTGTGGACAAAAGGATTGAGACTACTTCACAACATCTGAAATTACTAGGGGATATACCAGCTGCCATCTCTTCACAGAAGATTCAGTGGGTGCCACTGCTGGGAATATTTTAACAAGAAAAAATGTAAAAGTGCTTGTCACATAGGGCTCACTAGACCGGTTCTCTTGACTTCTCAGCTATGTTTGGTGCAACAGAGCACTCAGGTTTCTAGAACACTTGCAAACATAATGTAAAGTCATTCTGGCAGTTTTCTCTCAGATGTTTCTTTCTTCTCACTAACTGGCTTGTTCCCTGTGCCCGCCCATCACCTACTGCTCTTCTCAGCTGGCACTTCCCTATCTGGCCCAGTTAGAGCTGTGGGGCAGACAAAACTGAGGACCCCCTGAGGATAGGTGCCGAGTGGCCACTCAACAAAAGCAAGCAAGCAATTGTCTTCTCAACTTTTGCTGTTAGGTTGGTTGGTTCTGAATAGAGCCTCCAGGTGGGAAACAAGTGAATACATTTCTTGCATTCAGAAGAATATATTTATAGTCATTCAGATATATAAGGCCCTGGGCTTAAAGAATGTATTAGTATTCATTTATTATTTAATTATAATGTGCCAGGGGCTGTGCATAAGGCAGTACAGCAAGATCTTGAGAAGACAGAATTAGGAAGTTTAATATGGTAAGTAGAGAAAGGTAGGACATGCTCAGAGGTACTAAATAGGAAGTCTTCCTGGAGGAAGAGATGTCTAAGTAGAGTGCTACATGGTAGGCTGCTAAAACAAGCTCAGATTTGAATAGAGAGAGAATAAAGACTTGAAGAGGTGGGTACAATGTGTTTGGTTTAGGCATGTTAAATTTGATGTGCTTATGGCAAATTTTCATAGTCTGTCAGTTCAGAAGACAATCTAGGGAGAGATTTCCAAGCAGTCAGTAAAAGGGCAAAGTAAGCCTGGCTGAGAGTGGCCAGAGATGTAAGGGAACACTGGTATAGAACAGAGCGTGAAATCGAAGGACAGGTTCCTTTAAATTCCTTGGAAACATGTTTCAGGACAGAACACATTCCAGTCAGAAGACTGCTGATTCCATCAGGATTCCAGACGCTGAGGATTCTCCTGACCACCATTATCCAAGCATCTCCTTCCCCACAGGGCCTGTGCTTTAGTCATCTGGCCCCATGTGCATATCTCTGCAACGTCTTAATGTGGGTTCCCAGGACCTAATGAATTTTCAATCTACTTGAAAGCTCTTCAGGAGGATCCCCCCTGTCTTGTCAACAGTTTTCTGTCAACCTGTAACTAAATTCTCTTCCTCCAGTGTTCTCAACAAGTTGCACTGCCTGCCTAGAAACTCTTTGCTTCCTACCGAACAGAGTAACTTCCTACTAGGGAGTCAGCCTGGATGAATGAGGATGCTTTAAGTTACACTTAACAGAACAGCTTATCTAACTAAGATGGGCTTAAACAATAGTATGTGTTAGTCATTCAGTTGTGTCCGACTCTTTGCGACCAAATGGACTGTAGCCCGCCAGGCTCCTCTGTCCATGGGATTTCCCAGGCAAGAATACTGGAGTAAGGTTGTCATCCCCTTCTCCAGGGACTGAACCCAGGTCTCCTGTATTGCAGGCAGATTCTTTACCGACTGAGCCAATAGGGAAGCCAGGACAAACAATTTAAGGACAGCTTGTCTCACATGGTTGGAAGATCAGAGGTTGAGTGAAGTCTGGAATTGCTCTCAAAGATGTCTTCCAAAGGCCATAGTTCTGTCCATCTCTGCTCAGATGTCTTCAGAGTGTTGGCCTTGCAATCATGCCGGCTCTTACCGTGATCAAAATGTGGGTGCAGCAGTTCCAGGCTTCACACCCAGACACCACAGTGTCCATAGGGAAAAAGGATCCATCTCTCTCAGAAGTGAGAATACCTTTCCCAGAGCGACCCAGCCAGTTTCCCTTCGCATTTGTGTGGCCGAGATTAGGTCAGTGTACATTCCAAAACCACTGGCCAGGGCTAAGACTATTTAGAGTAAAATGAATGTTTAGGATCCAATCACTAAATAACTGGGCTCGTGGAAAAAAGGTGAAAAATATCAAGTCTATTCTTTTAAAAAAAAAAAAGTTTAAACAGGATAAGTCTATTCAGCTTCGAAATTCCAGCCATCACTGATTACCCCATCCAAGTATCCTTTACTCAAACACCTTGTCAATACAGAAAATTAATGGTGGTTTAGTGTTAATTATTACACAAATACTTGTAAAACTCCGTGTGTATTGCCAACTCTAACCTCTTTGTTTGCAACCCTTGCGCATGGTTAAAGCTCTTGGATAATACCATGAAAAGTGCATTAATATCTATTTGATAAACATTAAGTAAGCCCCTATCGTGTGATCAACACTGTCCTATTGCTAGAGAGAATAAGACAAAGCAAGACTTCTCTCTGGGAGAGTAGATTTTTGGAGTGAGTCCAGGGCAAAATCGCCAGAGCTGAGGCTGGAAAGCGGGGCCAGGTACTGAGGTTCCTAGAACTCTGAAGTATTTTGAACTTTGCCCAACAGGGGATAGGAAGTTGGAAAAGGTTTAAAACAGAAGTCATCCAACTGTTATTATTGTACATGTTCCTCGCCTTCCAGACTGTCTACACGGTCAACTAGAGGAAATCCTTTTGATGTGTGGGACAGAGACACTTTCCTCACACACTCGCCGCTATGGCTGATCCTCCAGGATAAGAAAAGCAAGGGGACCAACCCCACAGAAGGGCACGGAGTCCTCCCACTGTTTGCAGAGGGGAATCAAGCTAGCCCCCTGCGTAAATGAATGATGGATTACGGGCGCCCAGGCAAAACAAAGAGGAACCCGAGAAGCCCCGGGAGCAAAAAGCACGCATCAGAGAGGCCCGCAGGCCTGCAGCTGGTTGGATTCGCACCGAATTCTCACTGCAGAGATCCAGAACCTGGGCTGAACGCGGGATACGCCTGCCGCCTCACTTGTGAGTGACTCCAAAAAAACCCTTAAATTAAAAAAAAGACAACCTTCCTGAGTCGGGAAGATCCCCTGGAGAGGGAAACGGCAATCCCCCCCAGTATTCTTGCGGGGGAAAATCCCATGGACAGAGGAGCCTGGCGGGCTACAGTCCATGGGGTCGGAAGAGTCGGACACGACTTGCGACTAAACCACCACCACCATCCCCCAAAACAAAAATGATCAAGGGAGAAACGACAGCTCTGGGGGTATCCAGATAAAAGGTGGTCGGCAGCTTCCGGGCCCGGAGGCCCGGCTCTCTGCCCCAGGCCCGGCGGCCAGCAACCCTCAACCCCGCCCCCGCCCCGCCCTCGCGCATGCGCACCGGCGGCTGCCGAGGCGGTGGGCGGGGTTGCCCGAGGCCCCGCCCCCAGCGCGGTATATCTGCGGCAGGGCTGGCCTCCTTCCCTCACTAAGCCGGCTGCTCTGGGGCCCACACGAGCTTCTCGAGGGGCGGTCGTGCGGCAGGATGAGTGCAGACTCGGACCCGGTGGTCATCGTCTCGGCGGCGCGCACCATCATAGGTGAGTGGAAAGGCGGACCCGGCGTGGGGTTTGAGCCGTGAGCTAGGCCTGGCCTGCTCGCGGGGACCCCCTCCCCTCGTCCCCCCAACCCACCCACCACAGGACCTCCGGGACGCTCAGAACCCTGCGCCTCGCGTCTCCACGGCCGCCCTGCTTTCCACGCCCCTTCCTCGCTCGCTCTCATCTGAGTGTTCTGATTGGCGTCTTGGGTAGGGCCACCGTGCCTCCCGGCCCTCCTATTGGTTGACGGGGAGAGACGCCTTGCCGCGAGCCCCCTGATTGGCCAGCCGCGGGAGGCACCACCTCAGCCTTGTGGCTGCAGGGGGCGGGCTCGCTGGGTGGTCTGAGCTGGGGTGGGCGCTGGGCGAGGGAGTCGCGTCGCTTAAAAGGAGGGTTAGGGAGAATTGCCCGAATGTCCTTAGCGGAGTATAGATTTCAAAGGCCCTGGGCACGTGGGACTGGGTGCCCTCTTTTGTTAGGGAAGATTTTGGCCGCGCCCATGAAGCTCGGATTTGGGGGAGTGGATGGATAGTTTTCCCGCGGGTCCGCAGTCTCTCCGCACACCCTGGGGACTGCCTGCCTGGGGTTCGACTGCTGCGCGTCCCCCGCACTCCTCTCTGTGCCCGTACGAGATGCAGTGGGGCGTCTTTTCCGGGGGAAAAAGCACCGGTCCGCCGGCACCCCCACCGCCGCGGGCGCCCTCTCCATCGCCCCCGTCTTCCCTTCTGTTCTAGGCTCCTTCAATGGTGCCTTATCCACCGTTCCTGTGCATGACCTGGGCTCAACTGTCATCAGAGAGGTCCTGAAAAGGGCCGCTGTGGCTCCCGAAGAGGTCTCGGAGGTCATATTTGGACACGTTTTGGCAGCAGGTAACTCCACAGTGACCCCCCAGCCTAGGTCAGAGTTATTGGAAGCAATAATCTTTCCTCCCCCTGCTTCCCACTTCACACACAGAAACATGTGTTTTTGCCTCCATGCATTCCCTCTCAGAATATCTCCTGTCGCCCTCTGCCAGGCCCCATCAGTAGCTTCTCTCCAACTTAACCCTGAGCGTCTTTAATAGACGTTTCCTGATGGATCCTACATCTCCGTCCTCTGCTGCCTTTTCATTCCTTAGAAGCAGGACCAGCCTGAGGCATGGGAGAGGATGCAGGGCCTTTTGTATTTCCCTAAAGTTTCCCATATTCAATAAAAATGCATTGAGTTCTGTGCCCCGCTCTGTGCTAGGTGCTGGGACAGGGCTTCACTGACACAAGTCAGTCCTTGGCCTGCACCAGGCTGACTTCTGTGCTGGTATGGTGGGTGGCTCTCAGAGAGGGGCCCATCACCCCTGGAGGGGCTGCTGTTGATGAATCTCGGGAGTGTTCCGACTCACTTCTGATTCCCACTAGGTTTACAGGCCCATGCCCACTGACAATTCCAAGTTAGTTATCCATAACTAGTTTCACGCTCATTCAGAAGCATAATAAGTTCTAGTTATTCCTAGTGATAATGGTGTCACATTCACTTACTGCCAACTTTTGTCCCTTATCTGAGACCCAGCCCATTTTACTGCACATTTACTTTGCAGTTTTGTAGTTAGTTCCTCTTCCTAGTTCTCCTTTTTCACTTTGTCCTCTTGGGCTTTAAGGCTGAAGCACATTACTTTTCTCCTGACTTTCCAAGACTTTAAAGTGTTTGAGTCATACCCTCAGGTGTTAACTTATCTTTTGGAACACTCCCTCCTTTCTTCCCAGACCCATGGCCCAGACTTGCTCCTTTGCTGTAGGGCCCTCCACTCCTACAGAGGTTTCTCTGTTACCTCTTCCACATCACTCTTCTCTTGAGAGGTTGAGTAATGAATACAGGATCACAGCCTTGAACCCACATCTGTCCTACTCTTTAGGCCGGGATCCCCTCCACGATTGCGTAACTAATATTCACTGAGCAACTGCTGCACCCCAGACATTTTTCTATCAGCTGACACAATGTTCATGAAGATGGAAATCTTCAATTCTTATTGAGCTCACTTTCTGCTAACTGCAGACCATTAATTAATTCTGTTTGGCACTCATTTCTTGACTCTAAGTCAGCAAGATCCCTGGACTAGGAAATAGCTACCTATTCCAGTATCCTTGCCTGGAAAATCCCATGGATAGAGGAGCCTGGTGGGCTACAGTCCCTGGGGTCACAAAGAGTCACCAACACTGAGCCACTGAGCATGCACACACCTGAAGATGGGGATTATGGATAAATGCATACTTATTCATACACACTTATGTATGAATAAATACATACTTTCTTCTCTCCCTGAAGGAAGTGCCCGCAATTGAATTATGGGAAAGTATTTGTCAGTTCTGATTTTGTACATGTCTTATGGTATAACCAGTTAATCATGGTGTGATGAATAGTAAGCAAGGAAAGAGGTGTTTCTTAGCAGAGGTTTCCTCTTTGAAGTAACCCTGTTAATCCTTCTGGGCTTCCCAGGAGGCTCAGTGGGTAAAGAATTCGCCTGCAATGCAGGAGATGCAAGTTCAGTCCCTGGGTTTGGAAGATCCCCTGGAGGAGGGCATGGCAATCAACTCCAGTATTCCTGCCTGGAGAATCCTATGGACAGAGGAGCCTGGTGGGCTACAGTCCATAGGGTTGGATGCGACTGGACACGCATGCACCCTTATCCTCTCAGGTATCTTAAGCTATGATCAAGAAAGCAAATAGCCCTAGTGAAAAATAGGATTAATGCCAAAGTTCTGCCCTGTTTTTTTTCTATGTGTGCTCATTCAAGTACACACTTGATCAAAAGATCAAGCAAAAGATCAAGAAGACAGTTCCTTCTTACAGTATTAATAACTTCTTTGTGGAGGAGAAAGCTTATATTAATTAAGTTTCTATGAAACAGCACAAGATATGTATTCAATGGTCAGACCAGGACAGGCAGGTCCACACAATTCTCTGCTTCTCCCAGGAACTTGACTTGGCTGGGAAGTGGCTGGAGATCCAGTTGGCAATCTCTTGAACTTTGCATGCACTTTCATCCCAACATGCTGTCTTTCTCTTTGACTGCTGAGAGGCCTCTGTGATTCTTCTTCCAGGCTGTGGGCAGAACCCTGTTCGACAGGCCAGTGTGGGTGCAGGAATCCCCTACTCTGTTCCTGCGTGGAGCTGCCAAATGATCTGCGGGTCAGGCCTGAAAGCTGTGTGCCTTGCAGCCCAGTCAATAAAGATAGGAGACTCCAGCATTGTTGTTGCAGGAGGCATGGAAAACATGAGCAAGGTAAGACCTCTGAAGAGACGGCGTTCCCTGACCACTCACTGATGAACTCCTGTCCATTGCCACAGCAGGGTCGATGGTCTGAGAGCTGGAACCAGACAGGGAACAGGGAAAATTTGGATCAAACTTTGATCCCTGCCTGCATGTTAATTATTCACAGTGATTGGGAAATTCAAGTTGAAGAGAAAGCCGGTCAACCAGTGTGATGTCTTTAGTTTTACATTTCTTTCTCATTGTGAGGGAAAGTCAGAAACCAGATGTTGCACTCACCTTCCTGCACGGGACAAAGGGTATTCCTGGGGACCACAGCCTGTCGACCTTTTGTAGGTACACAGCGTGGAAGAGAGGACCCACTGAGTGGTGCCCATCTCCAGTGGGCTTGCCAGGCGGGATTGGCTTTGCCAAGTTCCATCCTTCCCACTGACACAGTGGGGGAAAAGGACAAAGTGTATCCCCTGCTTCCTGTAGCAATTCAGGGTCTCCCCTGGGGAACCCCTGGGCAGAGACCGATTCAGCCCACCTTGCTCAGGCTTGGGAGGAGACAGGGTGAGGGTAGCAAGCACAGAGTGATTCTGGGGGGGCCATAGCAGTACCTGTGTAGTGCTTCATGGGGTGCTTTTACACATGCAGTCATAACAGCCCTTGGTTTTGGTTGTATTCCCAATTTACAGGTAAGGAAACCGAGGCCCAGAGCCAGGACTCAAAATAGAGATCTTCAGGCTCTTCAGTCTTTCCTTTCTAGCTGCTATTGAGTTGGTAGGAGTTGAGAGGGAGCTTCCCTGGTGGCTCAGTTGGCAAAGAATCTCCCTGCAGTGCAGGAGACCTCGGTTTGATTCCTGGGTTGGGAACATCCCCTGGAGAAGGAATAGGCTATCCACTCCAGTATTCTGGCCTAGATAATTCCATGGACCATATAGTCCATGGGGTGGCAAAGAGTCGGACACAACTGAGCGACTTTCAAGAGGAAATCCCTTGAAATCCCCCCACTGAGAAATCTCTCCTCATCAGTTAATGAGGCAACCTGATTATTCTCACTCTAGGCAGTGTACGTCCCATCAAAGTAAGAAATATATTGTTAGCATCACTTAAGCTCATTGATCAGCTCTTCGTGTAACAGATCTCTGGTTGCTTTGGAGAGAATAAATGAGCTTTTTAAAGAAATAGGACAAAATGCACAGGTTGGTTTGATGGAAAGCTGCAGATGCATAGGGAAGAGAGTTACAGGTGGGTTTCCAAGGGCAGGTAGGGTGGAGTAGCCTATTAATTCTAGAGGTCTTCAGGCCCTGGGCCCTGGGTGATGAGGAAGATGGGCTGGAACAGAGGAGAAGGATCACAAGGGGGACTTGGTGAAGACTGAGGAACCACTGGACGGTTTTGAGTGGGAGCCTAAGGAGAGGACTAGTTACAACCACACTTAATGCATCTGTATTTCTTGTTTTCAGGCTCCTCATTTGGTTCATTTGAGGACGGGAGTCAAGCTTGGGGAAAAACCACTGGTTGACAGTATACTCTGTGACGGGCTCACCGACGCCTTCCACAACTATCACATGGGCATTACAGGTAAGGCGGGCGTGGCTGAAACATACCGACTGTGAAAAGGTTAGAGAAGGTCGTGCAACAGTGGGTTTTGCAGGTGCTTTTCCTCTTTAAGGGTAGGGACCGAGTCCTCATCATTTTGTATCCCTGATGACAGGGATAGTTCCCCATTGATGAAGCCAAGTTGGGGAAATATTCCCTCTCTCCTTTGTGACTCCCTGATTGTCAGGGAAGTTGGCGGTGGGAGGAACCTCAGAGTTCTTCTGGGTTAATCTCTCATTTTAACAAATGAAGAAACAGGGCTCACAAATAGTGGCTTTGTGCAAAGGCAAGGTCAGAGATAAGCTAGTACTTCTGGTATCGAACTCTGTGTTCTATTCGTTGCACTACACAATCAGATTTTCATCCACCCACAAGACTTGCAATATTTCAACCATCTTTTCATTATTGTATTCATTATGGTGATCTGAATAACCATTTGACCTAGAATAGCCAAAACAATTTTGACAAAGCAGGAAACAGAGCTTTGATCTTTGCTATTACCACTACAGCTTGCTCCAAGGCTCAGATGATGATTAGCATTTTTTTTAGCAATAAGGTATTTTTTAATTAAGGTATGTACATTGTTTTTTTAGATATAGTGCTATTGCACACTTAATACACTGCACATACTTTACAGTATAGAAATATGGTGGATATCATTTTAATCAAGTGAGCAAAATCGACATAACCTGAGATAAACTCCCACATGCATCCTGATAAGATTCAGTGAAAAGAAAATATAATCATCATCCCATACTTTCCCACATTATATTCTAACACGTCAGAATATTCTAACTTTATACTATAATGTGTTATCTAATCTTGAGGAAACATCAGAAAAATTAGGATTGGTGACATCTGACAAAGGAATTGGCCCCTGCCCTTCAAAAATAACAAGGTTAAGAAACACAGAGATAGGCTAAGACTAGTTGCAAGTAAAAACTAAAGAGATTAACAGTGAAATGCAGTGTATGATCATGGTTGGATGATACTGAACAAACAAATTAGCTATAAAGGGCATCATTGGGATAACAGGTGAGCCTTGAATATAGACTGAGCATGTAGATAACAGTATTTTATCAGTGTTACATTTCCTGATTTTGGTAGCTGTGGTTATGTAAGAAGCTGGCCTTTCTTATGGGGAAATATACACTGACATTAAAATTTAGAGATGAAGGGGCATGATATCTACAACTTTCCATCAAATGGTTCAGAAACCGAGACGTCAGAAAGCAGACAGGGCCAAAAAATAGGAATAATTGGTGAAGCAGCGAAAAGGAAATTTCTGGAAGTTATTTTATAGAAAGGAAAAGAGAAGGATGGAAGCAAAGAAAGAAAACGGCTTCTTAAGAACGCTTGCAACCTTTCCACACCTGATGGGAGGCAGGAGTACCACAGAGGACTGTCTCAGCCCACCAGTTGGCCCGCCGATGTTGGGCATCAGGGCTTGAGCCACGGCCAGAAGCCATCCTGAAAATGTTTGGGTTTTTTTTTTTTTAATTTATTTCACAGCTGAAAATGTGGCCAAACAATGGCAAGTGAGCAGAGAGGACCAGGACAAGGTTGCAGTTCTGTCCCAAAACAGGACGGAGAATGCACAGAAGGCGGGCCGTTTTGACAAAGAGATCGTACCAGTTTTTGTATCTTCTAAAAAAGGTGGGTGTGTCCCTCGTAAAGGTTTAAACGTCAACAGGAAATCTATAAGGAAATCACTCCTATTCTAAAGGCAGTCAATTCTCGTCTACAAGGAAATCAATAATAGTCAAAAGAACACCTTACAGGAATGTTTGTGCATTGTTATCTTAGTTATGTCTCTCGGGATGCAAAGAAAAGCTGTATTCAGGGTCGATCTGAACATGAGGTAGGGAGACACTCCTGACCTGGGGTTTCCCCGCGGCTGAGACAGGCGCACTGGTCCCTGGTTGTTGGAAGGCAGCAGCCCACCTTTCTACCCCTACCAGTTCTTTCTTCAGAAGCGACTGTCCATTTCTGTTGCTTCTGTGTGCGCTTCATATTTCTTGAGGGTGTCATCTTTTGGGGTTACTTAGCTCTTCTCCAATATGGAACACAATGGTTAAGTTCTTTTACTGACTGACATCAATTATGTCCAGCCTTTGTGAGGTTGGCTTTGACACCCTAGACCCAGTCAGCTGTAACCAGCCAAGATCTATACCCCAAACCTTAGCAACCTCTTACATAAAGAACTCCCTGAGACTGCCTTCCTCAGAAAGGGCTGTATTGGTATGGAAAACACTGAAGATGGTGCTAATATGATGTCTTAACATACAATAATTTGTATTACTGTGGACTTTTGTCCTATTGGAATGGAAATATTTTATAATAAATTTTTCTTCCAAATGTGAATATCATGTCTGAGGAATCCATTGTTTCTAGTACCCTGCCTGCCATCTCTGTACTAACCTTGGGTCATTTATTTTCCTTTTTGTCAGGTCTTACTGAAGTTAAAACAGACGAGTTTCCTCGCCATGGGAGCAACATGGAAGCCGTGTCTAAGCTAAAGCCTTGCTTCCTTATGGATGGAACGGGAACAGTCACCCCAGCTAATGCTTCAGGTTAATTATCTGAGGGGCGGTTTGGGGAATACCATCTTCTGCAAGGACTACCATGTACTCAGATTATTCTTTTTTGGGTGGGGATGGGGGTGGGTGGGTGCTGTGCCTGTGGCCCTTGGGATCTTAGTTCCCTAAGCAGGGATCAAACCCCTGCCCCCTGCATTGGGAGCACTGAGTCCTACTGGACCACCAAGGGGGTTCCCATACAGGTTATTCTAAAACCTTATTTCAGTTGGTCTAGGGAGAAATGTCGTTTTGACCATTTGTTTCTTCATATTAGACCCATATAATATACTAAAATGGATTTGGCTTCCCTGCAGTATCCTATTGGGACATACAAATGAAAAAAGTGAATTAGATTTTATCTACTACCTTTGTGCTTTTCCAAAACCAGAAACTCCGATTACCTTCTGTGATGTCTGGGCTGCTACTTCCACTTCATTAATCTCCTGTCCTCCACTGCTTTCATCTTCCTGTTCTCCCATGGAAATGTTCTGTAGTCTATCAGATTGGCAAACATACCATTTCTAATTACAGTTTAAAGCCTAACTTAACAGTAAATGACTTTGCCAAGATGTATTAAGGTTTACTTAACTCACGTCTCCTGGTGTTAGAGAAAGTAGATACAGGTACTTAACGAGGGTGGTTTCCAAAAGCAAGACATTCCTATTTTACAGGAATGAATGACGGTGCTGCAGCAGTGGTTCTTATGAAGAAGTCTGAAGCTGGCAACCGTGGGCTCACACCCCTAGCACAGATAGTTTCCTGGGCACAAGCAGGTGTGGAGCCTTCCATTATGGGAATAGGACCAATTCCAGCAATAAAGCAAGCTGTGAGTTTCATTTTGAATGTTGCTACCTGTCCTTTGTCGCTAAAACCTCTTTGGGAGCACACACATAACCTTTGCTCAGATCTTTCCCACTCCAAAATGCTGAGAGGCGGCTTGATTTTGTTTTCATCTGTATTTCTAAAAGGTTTCACCTGCATGTCTGAGCCTTTCCATTGGCCTTAAATAACCTTATTCATCTAGTTTTTGCTGTTCTTTACTAAAAGGGCAGCCAACATTTGGATCACATGCTCTATAACCTCATGTGGATGTAACAAGTCTAACTGGTTCAGATTAAGTGGGTGGTTTTTAAGAGATCCTTCAACATCACACATCCTGCTTTTACATCTACAACAAAGAATGGTTCTGCCTGAGTTCTTAAACCTCTGTTCCATTTAACCTTTCCTTTAGATTACAAAGGCAGGATGGTCACTGGAGGATGTTGATGTCTTTGAAATCAATGAAGCCTTTGCAGCCCTCTCTGTTGCAATAGCTAAAGAACTTGGATTAAACCCAGAGAAGGTAAGCATAAGCAAGCAATCCTGAGAACGTGCAAATGAATGTTCACAGTGCAAGAAATTGCTCATGTGACTGTGTACATGCGGGCTTCCCTGGTAGCTCAGAGGTTAAAGCATCTGCCTGCAATGCGGGAGACCTGGGTTCGAAACCTGGGTCGGGAAGATCCCCTGGAGGAGGGAAAGGCAACCCACTCCAGTATTCTTGCCTGGAGAATCCCATGGACAGAGGAGCCTGCTGGGCTACAGTCTANAAACATTCAGAAACATGGAATTTACCATAGAAGTGACACACAATCTCAAGTTTAAGGCTTACAGTTAGACTCAAGGAACCGTCCTATCATAAGAGAACTATGTCACTTCGAGGTGAAGAACATTGAAGAACTTTCCCAGTTACAAATGCACAAAAAATATTTTACAACATGTATTTGTACACAAAACATTAAGGAAGTTTTCTGGATCTGCTTATTGTTAGCATCCAACGTAAAAGGAACATGACAGCTGGCAGGAGACATACCTCCGGAAGCTTTAGCAATGCGTTTAAGGTCCCTTTTTAAAACTCTTCGAACTGCCATAGCACCAGCCTCCACAAAATACTTCAGACACATGTCGTCAATTCCACCAGTGGTTAGGATAACGTTGGCACCAGTTGCCAGGATCTTCTGGATTCGCTCCTTGGTGATGTCGGACTCTCTACAAAAATGCAGTACTTGAGTAGTAACCCAAAGTTATCTTCTGTATTTTTACTATTACATATAGCTTGAACTTCCATTAAGTATTTTTCATAAAATAACCAAAGATTAAATAATACTAACGAGTTTCTCCCTTCTATGAGCAGAACTTAAATCAGTCCAATTTACAGGAAGTTCAAGGAATAAAATACCAGTTAGCTCTCCCCACCCCAACTTTAGTTTCTAACCAAGAATGGCGCCTAAGAAAGGAAGACTGACGGACCTGGTGGGAAGACAGACTGTCAAGCAAACTCCAAGGCAAGTGTCACTACAGTGCAATGCAGAGAGACAAGCACATGAGAGCCACATGTCCAGGCTGGCAGGTGGGAAAGCTTGAAGGTCTGGAGTTAAGAGAGGGGCCCAGAGTTGGAACTCCAGGTATCAACAGAAAATGAAGAACTCTGTAGCAATGTCTGAGTCTGAATTGAGAAGTTTTTTTTTAATAGTCTAAAGAGAGTAGTATTATCAGTCTGTGTTTTCAAAGGATGAAAGAATGAAGACACTCTGAGGCAATAACTGGAGATGAGTCTATCTGATGTGAACAGATGGCCTTAACAGAGAAGGCAAAGCTTATGGCTTGGGTGACTGGGGGATTCAACAAATGATTTGTGGAGTGAAATAAATACTAACAGGTTGGGGGCAAGATAAGAAAAAAAAAAAAAGTTCGGTTTTCAACAAGGTCAATCTGAAGCCCCCATGATATTCAGGTGAAGCTGCACGGGAATTACAAGCAACCTATGGGATACACAGATCTGAAAAACAGTCAATAAATATTTACTTATTCAAAGAACAGTAGATGAGATCAAAGAATCTTTTTTTTTTTTTTCTTTTGCCACACCATGCAGCATGTAGACTTTTAGTTCACTGACCAGGGATCAAACTCGAGTCCCCTGTATTAGAGGCTTGGAGTCTTAATTGCTGGACCACTAGGCAAGTCTCAAGATCAAAGAATCTTTAAAGTGAAATGAGTTAAAGATGAACCTCACAAAAAACCTCTCTACATACTAGACAAATACTGTATGTATGTCAAAGCCATGAAACTAAGTCATTCAGGCTCTACCTTCATAGAGCTTACACTTAGACGTATTAATACATAGTTAGAAAATTCGGTAAGCCCCAGGAAGACAAACTGCAGTAACTCAAGGGACAGCATAATTCAGACTGAGAGGGAAAGAGAAGCATCTCTGAAAATTACCAACTGAAAATCAAGTAAAAAAATCAACCAGTCCAAACAAGTAGGCAGAGAATGTTCTGGGCAGAGGGAGGAACATTCTACTCTTAGGGACTGAAGCTCTTAGAGAAGGAGCTTGGTGGATTCTGGTTTTGGCTGTGCTAGACCACAGTGCAAAGAGCAGGTAAGGAACTGAACTAACCCAGAGTGATGGGAAATCTCCAAAAGGCTCTGGCCTTGCAAGGGGTGAGATCAACTTGGCTGCTGTGTGGAAAACAGCCTTGTAGGTTGAGACTGGAACCAAGAGGACCAACTTGATGCCCTGCAACAGCTTGGGCAAGAAAATGGAAACAAAAAGTGGGTGAGTTTGAGATTTAATTTATAGAGTGATATCAAGTGATCTTTGATAGGTTAGTAGAAAAAAGAAAAAAAAGGAGTTAAGGACATTTCCTAGTCTTCTTCCTCAGTAAAGGGGTCCCTAACTAAAACAGCAAAGAGCAGATTTGGGAGTACCATCACAAGTTCAATTTCAGACATAATGACTTTGAGATGCTTAAGAAGCATTCAATCAATTTAAGCTCCAAGAAACAGATTCCAAGTCTCCAGCACAGAGGATGCAGTGGCCCAGGCACAGAAGGACAGATGATGCAGAAGCAAAATGCTGCTCCATCCTCCAAATCTTTCAAAAAGTAGCCAAAGCTTGATAAAGGTCAAGTGAAACTGGATGTGTGTAATGACCTTCACAGCAGTGGTCACTAGTGACCTTAGCAAGTGGTTCTCCACTGAAGAAGCTGAAAAGGGCTTAAGAAATAAAACACCAGAAAAGTTTTGTGCCAATCACTCTTCTAACATCTGGCTATACAGAAATGAGGAAGGACCAGGAGTAACTGCAATAGGACGTGTACACAAGAGGCTTTTTATTACATTTAAGGATAAAAGAGCTACATGTGAAGTGAAAGTGTTAGTTGCTCAGTCGTATCTGACTCTTTGCAACCCCATGGACTATATGTAGGCCATCAGGGTCCTCTGTCCATGAGATTCTCCAGGCAAGAAAACTGCAGTGGGTAACACTCCCTTCTCGGGGGGGGGTCTTCCCAATCCAGGTATTGAACCCGGGTCTCCTGCACAGCAGGCAGATATAAGAAGCTTTTATGTTACTTAAGGATAAAAGAGCTACAAGAGGAATCTAGAAAGGAATGAAGAGTAGAATCAGTATTGAATATGCAGTTGAGCAAGAATAATGAATGAAGCAAGACTGTAAAAGCAGAAGGCAACAGGATCTCAAACACTTATTCTAAAGGGACTGGCCTTTGAAGGAAAAAAGGACACATCTGGTTATTAAAAGGAAGGTAAGAGCACACATGCAGATACCAGAGGAGAAATCATCGCAATGTCAGCACACTGCAACAAAGACCCAGCACAGCAAAAATACAATAAATCTTTAAAAAAAGGTGGGGAGGGTACACCTTCACAACTAGGTCTCTAGCATGTCAACCAATAGTTAAGACCATGTGCACTGCCTAGTACCTGACACAGAGTCAATACTATATGCTTTTGATTCTTGTACTATTTGAGGAAATGCATTCCTGGACATATCTCAAAGCCCTAATATCACTATACTCATAAAACCAAAATTTCACAAAACGTCAGTTTTCATGTATCAGCCCAATCTCTCTTAAGACACTGTCACATTTTCTAATTTTCCTGGCAGTTTAGGTAACCTAATTAGACTTTGGTTAAAAATGTTAATTTTTAAAGTCCTCTAAGCCACTCACAGTTGGAAAAAAAAAAATAAGTCCAGTTGCATAATCCATCATACCCTGCTACCCATTAGACTTTTTAGTTTACTGTCACCTGCTCTAAAAAAGGGTAATTTACAAACACGCCTTTCCCAAGGTCAAAAAGGACTCTCAACGTACCTCTGTCTAATCTGGTCCAGTTTTTCAGGGTCTGTAATAACCACTTGTACACCAAGCTTCATTTTTGTTTTCTGCAGGCTGAAGTCAAGGCAAGCAATTTTTGCATTAACTATTCTCTTGGGCATACCTAAAATTGAACGTAACAATAAGTACCTTTACAATTAACAATGTTACATTTTATAAAATACACCTATCCTTAGAAAGAACTGCACAGAGATTTAAAATCGTTATATGTAAACACACAAATTTAGATTTTATTACTTTTGACATTATAAACAAATGCTCATGGCATTACACACATGTGCTTTCTTTTAATTTGTATCTTTCTTAATCACATGCAATTACATTACAAAGAAACTGGCAACACAATGTACCATTTCCTTTATCTCTGGGCTTCATTAAACAACAAAAGCGCACATGTAGGATAGTTCATCTGAAGATGGGAGTAGTTAATCCATAAATAGCTAGCTTTATCCTTTAGCACGCTGGTTATATGACCAAGTGAAATCACAAGCCTTACCCTGGGATCCCACCACACAGTTGAGAGCATAGCCGTTGATGAGCATACTCTCCATCTGACTTCTCCCATGGGCTTTCAGAACATTAATGGAATTCACTGGATAGCGAGGCTGGCCTCTGACATCTGTGTATTTAATAGCAAGCACAGCATCTACCACCATGTTAGCGAAGAAATCACCATTTCTAAGACAGCAGTTAAGGAAAACAGGAGACTTGGGATGCACAGTGGGTGCACATGAAAATCAACGGTAATACAAAGGCACTTCCTTTTAGCAATCTCATCAAAGAAACAAGCATTATATATGCCACTGAAATGTTAGAAAACTGTTTATCACTATCTGCACACTACTTTCACAATACTGTGTATTAGCCTGCCCTTTGAAAAAAGGAAAATAGGCAACTTGAATACAACAGCATCATCTGGCACAAAACTAACGCAGGGTTTTACTTTTAAAAAGCCTAAACTTTACTGGCCCATCATAAGGATACATTCCAATGATTTTGGAAGACATCGATGTCTTAGCAGCATTAATCAGGCAATCCTTTCCAAGCTCATCGGTGTTAATGATCAGATTTTCACTGATGTAACGCACTGCTTCCCTGTTTGAAGCGTGGGGAAGAAAACAAGTCACTACTCAGAGTCCTGTTTTATCAGTGTATCACAATACTTAGGGCATCAACGCTCTGTTCAGCCATTTCATATAGGAGGAGGACACGAGCAATCCTCCCTCTTCAGATCACGGCAGTTCTCATCTATCCCATAAGCATAGCCACTAAAATCTATCAGGAGATAATGTGGTAGTCAAATGGGAAAAAAGGGATACTGGCCCCAGTTCTTATTTCAAGTGTTACCCACATATACACTAAAACACAGCTTTATCAAAGTATAGTCATCGACTGGAAAATGTAAAGCACACAGACTCTCAACTATTACATCAAACAACAAATAAAATTTTTCTGAATGTAACAATCTTACTTGCAAGCAAGTCGATAGCCACTAATTACTGATGTGGGATGAATTTTCTGTTTGACTAGTTCATCTGCATTTTTTAGAAGTTCTGCTGCAATAATAACCTGCAGAGAAAACATCCATTGCTCTCATGTCAGCCTGACATTATGGGCAACGCACATACACAAATACTAACACGCCAATCAGAAGGTAATAATCAGAATAACAGGGGCGACGAGATTTAACTTATTAGAAATCAGAAAAAGATAACCCTATACAACATTTCATATGGAAATGGATAAAGCCAGATAGGAGTTAGCAAAGTGTTCTGGCTCTTAACTAGGCTAGTTCTGTAGAAGAGCAGAGATGATACACTCATTCCTTTTCAAGATGAAGTGCTCACCAAGCTTTCAACATAAGCTAAATGAAGAGTCTGAGGATTCAATGATCTGTACTGTTTTATTATTTGTTTATTTTTGACACTCCACTCAGCGTCTGGGATCTTAGTTTCTGGACCAGGGATTGAACTCAGGCTCTCAGCAGTGAAAGCTTGGAGTCCTAACCACTAGACTACCAGGGAATACCTGATCTGTACTATTTTAGATTGTTATTTAGAAAACCATCCTTTTACGAAGACCAAAAATTACGCTTTAATCAAAAAGACTTTAAAATTCTTGCCTGCATCTTTGGAGGGAAAATTAATTGTATTTAAAAAGCTCTGCTATCATGAACAAGTTACTTAAAGATCATTCTTTCAGAAGAGGTGGATTCTATTCTTCCATGGCTTAGAGATTAAACATTTCCCCACAAACCACTGCTTTTTTTTAAGAGAGCAAATTATTATTTTTTTCCCTCATCAAATAACAAGTGTTTCTACTACATCAGTGTGCAGGGTGATCTTCGAGGAGTTTATATCATGTTACTGATCATGTTTACAAACTCTCTCAAACTCCCAAACTCAACTCAACTCAACTCTCAAACTCATGAGTTCACTTGTCAGTATTTAAAATATAGAAACATCTTGTTTTTTTAAAAAATACTTCATAAGGTTTTAGGAACTTCTTCTGAGCCTCAGGTTGTGAGAGAAAAAGAAAACATTTCCTTTTTCCTTTAAATGACTTATTTATGGTTAGAGCTTCATTTTCTGAAACTTTGATTTCAGGGGAAAGAAAAACACTAGTCCTCAGCTAGCAGTCTTTACCTACCACGGAGGTGGTCCCATCTCCCACTTCTTTGTCTTGCAGATCCGCTAGCTCACAGAGAACTTTGGCTGCAGGATGCTCTACCTCCAGTAGCTTCAGGATGGTTGCACCATCATTAGTAATGGTTACATCCTAAGAAATTTCCAAAGAAGAAAAAAATGACATAATCATCCACAGAAACAGACCACCCCCTAAATTAGCCCAACCCTGTTATGAAACATTCACCTTCTATATACCTTCCAATACCAGTGCTCTGAGAAACACAAATAATTACAAAGTGAGATATTTATGAACTTATTCTTTAAAGTAACAAACATTACGTGTAGACCTATACTTACACCAATGTCATCCACCAACATTTTATCCAAGCCAACTGGACCAAGAGAACTTTTCACAATATTGGCAATTGAAGCTGCAGCCATGACTGTAGATACAAAGAAAAATTTTTTGAAAACTCAAGATCCCAAGAGACAATCATTTCAGTCTAATAGTAGTAAATGAAGTCTCTGAATTTTCAAATTTATCTCATCTGTCCTAATGTGAAAATCAACCAAAAGTCTAATGTAAGGAGAGAGAGAACCTAGTAATTTACAGTTTTAATTCAACTGCAGACAGACACCAACTGTTATTAAGAGCACTCACTCCATTGCTTTAAAGAAAAGATAATCACCTACTAGTCTTCACTGCAGATTCTGCCACTCCATACAAAACATAAAAAGATACCAGCCTTTTTTAGATTCTGGCAAGTTAAAAAAAAAGTTATTAAAAAAAATCAGTAATTCCAATGTTCTGACTACAAACTTGCCCAAGACAAAAATTAAGAATCTATCAAATAATGGTAAGACTGACTGATTTCAACTGGTAAGATTCACAAGATCTGTGGCTTCAAGCAACTCAACAGCAAATGCTTTAACAGGTTAAAGTTTACTAGATAAACTCATTTGAAGTACCGCTTATGTATCATTCAACAAAAAGTCCGCCTGCTAAACAGGTGGTCAGTGACAGGTGGCTAAGAACTAAATCTGGCCTGTAGGGACCTGGCATCTACTGCAGAGGATAACCGCAGGATACAACGTGCAAATTTCACTCTTGATGAAAATTGAAAGGAGTGTGAAAAATCTGGCCTAAAACTCAACATTCAAAAAAACTAAGATCATGGCATCCGGTTCTATCACTTCCTGGCAAATAGATGGGGAAACAATGGAAACAATGACAAACTTTATTCTTTGGGGCTCCCAGAGCACTGCAGCCATGAAATTAAAAGACGCTTGCTCCTTGGAAGAAAAGCTATGACCAACCTAGACAGCATCTTAAAAAGTAGAGATATTACTTTGCCGACAAAGGTTTGTCTAGTCAAAGCTATGGTTTTTCCAGTAGTCATGTACAGATGTGAGAGTTGGGCTATAAAGAAAGTTGAGCCACCGAAGAATTGATGCTTTTGAACTGTGGTGCTGGAGAAGACTCTTCAGAGTCCCTTGGACTACAAGGAGATTAAACCAGTCAATCCTAAAGATGTGAGAGTTGGGCTATAAAGAAAGTTGAGCCACCGAAGAATTGATGCTTTTGAACTGTGGTGCTGGAGAAGACTCTTCAGAGTCCCGTGGACTACAAGGAGATTAAACCAGTCAATCCTAAAGAAAATCAGTCCTGAATATTCACTGGAAGAACTGATGCTGAAATTGAAGTTCCAATACGTGGGCCACCCGACGCGAAGAACTGACTCACTGCAAAAGACCCTAATGCTAGGAAAGATTGAAAGCAGGAGAAGGGGTCGACAGAGGATTAGATGGTTGGATGGCATCACCGAGTTGATGGACACGAGTTTGAACAAGCTCCGAGAGTTGGCGATGGATAGGGAAGCCTGGCGTGCCGCAATCCATGGGGTCGCAAAAGAGTTGGGACACGACTGAGCGACTGAACTGAACAATGCTCAAGTCATATGAATAACAAGTCTATGGTCACGCACTCATTAATAAAAAAAAAAAACCCAATTAGAGATAGTTCTGTCTGGTTAACAGCTGTAAAACGAGGTCCAGAGACGCCTTTCTGGACTAGAAACGAAACATAAGGGCGGGCGCAGGGGCCCCCGGCCCGCAGGGACTGGAGGTGCGGCGACACGTGCCGGTGCGACGAGCTCGCTCTCCCAGCTCCCGGCCTCCGCAGCATCCGGTCAAACCGCGCTGCGCCCTCGGTCGAGACCCGCCGCGGGACTGAGACGCCACCCACCATTCCCAGGGGCCCTTTCGAGGGGGAACAGAAGGGAAGCCGCGAGGACAACAGCCAAGGCCGAGGCGGGGGTGAGGGGGACGCGCACCGCCACGGGCCCGCCTCAGGCCTCGCTCAGGCCCTCACCGTTCTGGGAGCGGATCGCCTCCCCAGTGCTGCGGTCCCCGAACACGGACAAAGGACCCTCCATCCTGGCGGCGGGGCGCACGTCGAGTTTCCCTCACACCGCGGGCAACCAGCGTCTCACGGTCCGCGGGCCGGGCGGTGGCCACTGCAGCCGCGACGGCGTGGAAAGGACCCGAGCGACGTCGCTCGCGGGGGCTGCTGGGAACGCCGCTCCCAGCTTCTCCCCTCCCCTGACACACACCTTCCCGGGCCGCGCCGCGGGGCAGGACGGGAATGAAAAGGGGGGAGGAGGGTGGAGAAGCGTGAGCGCACCGGAAGTGAGCAGACGGAAGGGGCGGTCCCAGCACATTCGCCCAATTAGAGAGCGAATGAGAAGGGCGCGAAGGTAGGAGAGCGGAAGTCAGTATCTCGGACCGCTAGAGGGAGGAGGCGCTCGGCTGACGCTTTCTCCCCCTAGGCACAGGTTACGCGTGCGCGTCTGCACATTCTGGTACCTTCTAGAAAAGGTGGGCAGTAGGGCGGAGCTTGGAGTGACGAAAAGCAGGTGGGGGGGCGTGAGGTGGTGTGCCTGAGGTAGGGCCTAGGGTTATGTACGGTTCTGGATGGTTTATAAATCGGCGTCCTTGTTTTCCTTACGTGTATGGGTTCGAGCGGAGAGCGCCCGGCTTCAAGCGTTTAGGGTTGGGAGTCTGAGCGGGACAGCGCAAGGGTTCTCCATGAGTCATTAGGGAAAACAACCATAATATCTGAAGAGAAAACCGCCTCGCGCTGCCGTTTCCTCTCAGAGACCAACGTGTCTGTGTGTGTCCGCCCAATTATCGGTCTGTACTTTGCGACCCGAGGGCCCAACTAAGGTACCAAGACGCCTTGCGGGACAGGGAGGCGGGATGCGGCCGACTAGCGTGGTCAGACTTAACGGACCGTGCCCAGCCCCCACTTGGCTCGCTGCGAGGTGTCTGGCTGGCTCCGGTGTTTGCGCCACAGCGTAAGCGCTGATTGGAGGAATGGAGATGACGGATTGCACTCTCTGCCACTCAGCTGCAGGGGGCTTGTTAGTGCGGCGGTCTAGGCATCTATGACCTTACGTCATTCGAAGGCTTTTCCCTGAGTTAGTATGGCTGCGGCCGGCGGCTTTCTGGGACGCCGTTGAGGAGAGGAGGGCAAGGTCTGTCCGAGGCTTTGGCTGCGATTCTCCTAAGCGATGGCGCTTCGGCTGCGGTTCTGGGAATTGTTGCCGTTTTGCAGAAACCCCGGTAATTCATCTTACCACTTCTCTCAGGTTATACCCCAGGGTCTGCTCTGGCAAATTGTCGTTTTATATGCAGCATGCGTTATGCGTGCTCAGTCGAGTCCAGCTCTGTCGACGCCATGGACTGTAGCTACCCAGGCTCCTCTGTCCACGGAATTCTCCATGCAAGAATACTGCAGTCTGTTGCCATTCCCTTCTCGAGGGGATCTTCCCCAGCCAGGGATCGAATCTGCCTCTCTGGCGTTTCCTGCCCGGGCAGGCGGATTCTTTAGCCACCTAGGAAGCCATCATTTCCCACGGAAAAGTAAACGAGCTAACGGTATCGTGATGACAACACTAGTAGAAAATTAAGGACCAGATTCTGTGGTGACTACACTCCGTTACCGAACGTAGCTCTTGTACCTCTTGCAGGGCGCGAGGCCTGAGGGGGGGGAGAGGATGGGCTCAAGTTATATCATATTCCTGTTTTGTCCGTATTCGTCATTCTTTTAAGATCCATGTGGTTGTTTTTGTTCTTTAGGGTGTCGGGTGGCAGCGCTCTCGACCAGTGCTAAGCCAGCGGTGAAGCCTGAGGTGGACCCCGTGGGAAATGAAGCTATTGCCCCAGAGTTCACCAACCGGAACCCCCGGAATCTGGAGCTCTTAGCTGTAGCCAGAAAAGAGCGGGGTTGGGGGACCGTGTGGCCCTCCCGTGAGTTCTGGCACAGGTAATTAAGTTGCTCCGTGTTGACCACAGAACCCTGCATGGTGAACTTCAAATTGTTTTCATAAGTTCTCTAAAGAGTGTGCCAGATAACTGCTGGCGATTCTCCTCTCAGACTTGTGCTGGGTCTAGAAGGGGTTAGTGGGGGGAAAGAGGGCGGCAAACGGTAAATAAATAGGTGTCATAGAGAAAATGTTAAGAATAGGAGACTGGTTGCCTACCCAGACCCTCCTAAAATAGGAAGAAAGCCAAACTATCTGCCAAGAACAGGGTTCCCAGCAGAGGAAACAGCTAGGGTGGGAATGAGCTTGGTGTGTTTGAGGAACTGAAAGGCTTGTGTATCTAGAGCTCTGGGCCAAGAGGTGAATGGAGAGGTAGGTAGAACACACATTATCAGCTTTATATATCAAGGAAGTGCCTGAGGCTTTATTTTTATTTTCGTGGGAAACTGACGGGGTTTGGTTTAGTGTAAGCCTGAATGGAAGATCATTCTGGTTACTTTGAGGAGAACAGATTTTTAAGGGGGCAGTGGTAAAGGCAGGAGAGCAGTTAGGGGTTTATTCTTTGTTAAGATAGCTAATTATTGAATACTTTCTATTTGCCAGGAACCTGATGCTAGGCACTTTATATGCATTTTCTCATTTACTCCTTACAAGTACTTTTTGAGGCAGGTGCAGTGAATTCCCCCATTTTATAGAGCAGGGGAGGCTTAGGGAAGGAAACAAGGTTCAAAGAAAGGGGGCAGGGCAATTCATGTTTGAAATAATCTGACTCTTTAAGTCTAGAATCTTTTTTGAAACACCCAAACTATTATTTTCTATTAATATTTGGGTATTTAAATAATTGGACATCTACCTCCCCCCTTTCCCTCCATTTGTCCTATTCACAGTACTACCAGTATAATTTGGAAGTGACCTTGGAGATCCTGAGTCCTACTCTTTTATTGCACAGATGGTTTAAGACAATGATCAGCAGACTTTTGCTCTTAAGCTGGCTTGGTAGCAAAATATTTTTACATTTTTGAAAGGTTGAAGAAAAATGCAAAGACTATTTTATGGTATGAAAACTGTAAGATTCAAATTTCATTATCCACAAAGTTTTTATTGGCACACAGCCACCCCCCATTCTCACCTGGCTGTTCTGGTATTACTGTGGCTGAGTTGAGCAGTTGACCCATATTGTTACCTGAAAACTAGGTTTGCCTCTTGGTGGGTGTCAGGCCAGAAGGCACAACCAAGATCAGGAGAGGGAGGGGTTTATTACTTGCAGCATGTAAAGAGAACACTGGGTGTCTTCCTCAAAGCAATGTCTCCCCCAACAGCATAACTGAGGAAGTTTTAAGCTAAGGGTACACACACATTCATGAAGGGGCTTGAGCAGAGGAGAACTCCATATAGAATCAGGGCCAAGATGTACAGAGTCCTAGCTTTAATTTGTTGAGGTCACAAGGGTCAACATTGTCATTTCCATCCTCCACCTGAGTGCAGAAGTCAAAGGCGGTATCAGATTGTTCTCTATGTCCCTTGAGGAGGAATCAGAACTCTCTCTTTTACTATTTTACTCTCCTTTGTTGTTTGATTGCTTTTCCTTTGTTCCTTCATTCCCTTAAGATCATTAATTATTGAGACCTGTTCAAGAGCAGGTACAGTGGCCAATCTTAGATCGAAAAATGGCTTTGGTCAAAAATGGCTTCTCTTAGATTAAGAAAGCCATGCCTGGTTCTCTTTCTCCAAGGACCCACTACCCTCTCTGCTTTCAATCTTATCACTTATAGAAAAAGTGTGTTGACCACTGGATTAAGAGATTGTGATCCTCGTTAGTATAGTGGTGAGTATCCCCGCCTGTCACGCGGGAGACCGGGGTTCGATTCCCCGACGGGGAGGCAACACACCCTTTGGGCTTCCCTTGTAGCTCAGTCAGTAAAGAATTTGCCTGCAATGCAGGAGACCTGGGTTCAATCCCTGGGTTGGGAAGATCCCCTGGAGAAGGAAATGGCAACCCACTCCAGTATCCTTGCCTGGAAAATCTTATGGACAGAGGAGCCTGGTGGGCTAGAGTCCACGTCGTCGCAAAGAGTCGGGCATGACTGAGCAACTAACACACAATAGCAAAACCAGGAGTAGAACCCACATTTCTAAATCTAGTGCTTTTTATGCTGTTTGATACTAAGAACCTTAGTATAGTCTCATTTCAGCGTTTTCTTTATCATGAACTTAATTTCTACATGTGTAATGTATACAAATGTTGTAAATCCAAAAAGGAATAGTTTCTCATGTACCCTCCTATAGCTAGTCTGTGCACATAGGTATAAACTTGTAAATTTTTTTTAATATAAATCTTATCTTACCATATATGTTGTTCTGTATTCCCCCTCCCATTCCTTCACCATCACCCCCATCTATGCCACAGACAAACACACTTAAAAATACATGTTGGAAATATTTTATGTTGGTTGGGAACATTGGCTCTGGACCAAACCCCTGGACTTAAATCCTGCCTATCACCATTACTTACCATTAGTTGTAACATTGCTAAAGTTATTTAACCTTTCTGCGTCAGTTTCTGCAGCCCGAAAAGAAAGAAAGAATAATGTTATTAGTTTGAGACATGAGCTCTACCTGTAAACAATTAGGACTCCCTGGTACAGTCAGTGTTCAATAAATGTTTGCAACAGCAGCATAAGGTGCTACTTTGTTCTTAATTGTGTAAAATAACTGTTTAAAGTTACTCTAAAATACCATTGCATGGCTATTTTAATTCACTGATTCTGGATTGATGATTATCTTTTATGATTTCAACCAGTGTTGCAATTAATTGTCTTGTGCATGCAGTTTAGCAGTGAGATTGGGCATATCTTCATGGGTTTTAAGAGTCATTAATAGTTTACTTCTCTGTGAACAGTCTGTCCAAATCCTCTGCCTAGTAAGTTACTGGTCATTTTCTTATTGCTTATAGGAGGCTTTTTATATACTATGGAAATGAGCCCTTTGAAAAATACATGATTTTAAAATATTTTTTGTTTCTTTGCTTGCCTTTTGACTTTTTTTTTTTTTGTTAGCATGCAGAAAGCTTTGTCAGTCTTTTTTTTTTTTTTTACAAAAGCCATATGATACAGTTTGATGTTATGTTAAATAGCTTGATATAGTTAAATAGGCTTATCTTACTTTGTTTAAAAATTCTCCCACCTTGTCTTCTAGTACTCACATGATTTCTGTTTTTATATTTAAATGTTTGACCCATCTTACATTTATTTTGGAAAATAAACTATAAAGTAAGTATATCTTTATCCAGTGAAGGGTCAGCAAGTTAGCTCTGCCTCCTCAGCTCTCAGAAATGCCGAATTTCTTCTGGGTATTTGAGGCTAAGTAGAAATGTTTGGTTTACTATTGAGGAAATCCTCATAAAGGCAGAGGAAAAACACCTCTCCCAAGTAAAATGCAGGTTGAGTATGTTGACATAAATGAACCAGATGTTGCATTTTTGAGAAATGTTTTTGCACTTATTCACCTGAAGTCATTTGTCTTTAGAATTCTGATTTTGTTCTCCTCTCACCTTGTTTAGGTTGCGAGTTATAAGGAGTCAGCATCATATAGAAGCACTTGTTGAGCATCGCAATGGCCAGGTTGTGGTTTCGGCATCCACTCGTGAATGGGCCATTAAAAAGCACCTTTATAGCACCAAAAATGTGGTGGCTTGTGAGAGTGTAGGACGAGTGCTGGCACAGCGGTGCTTGGAAGCAGGAATCAACTTCATGGTCTACCAACCCACTCCTTGGGAGGCAGCGTCAGACTCGGTATTTTGTTCTCACTACTTAGTTAAAAGGTGTTGTGTTAATTCTTGACATTAGATACTTAAGTAGTTTGTTTATTAAGTTCTTTCCAAGTGTCTGACTCTGAGTTGAGTGTCCTGATGCGCAATACCTCACTTCAGCTTCACAGCAGCCTTAGCGTCAGGACTCATGGTCCCTCTTCTGTAAGTTAGCTGAGGTTGGCTGGCTGGCTTAGTGTGGCGCTGAGCAGCGTTCAAACCCACGCGACCAATTCTATAGCCGTAACATTGACTTCTCTGCAGTTCATATAGTATCTTGTCCACAGAATATTTTCAAGTACTGTTAATCCTTAACATCTCTACACTTTGTTTTATCTGTGTCATTAAGATCACTTTCTGAAAAAACTAGTGTGGGCTGGGAAGTCAGCAAGGAGCAGATCGGTGGTTCACTTCCTCTTGTGAAGTGAGCTATTTATGGTCAGCTTGTGGTTCAGTTGTTAAGTCAGCTTGTAGTATTGACTTCATCTTTTCCTTTTTTCTTGATCTTCAAAACCAGATGAAACGACTACAGATTGCCATGATAGAGGGTGGTGTGGTGCTACAGGAGCCTCGGAGAATCTATGAATGAAGCAGAAGCATTGTTTGGAGCTTGTAAATGAAAGCTGTCAGCTCTTCATTCATCAGAAGAGAGCCTCTGGAAGAACTGCCAACTTGGACGTTTTATAAGAGTCATTAATAGTTTACTTCTCTGTGAACAGTCTGTCCAAATCCTCTGCCTAGTAAGTTACTGGTCATTTTCTTATTGCTTATAGGAGGCTTTTTATATACTATGGAAATGAGCCCTTTGAAAAATACATGATTTTAAAATATTTTTTGTTTCTTTGCTTGCCTTTTGACTTTTTTTTTTTTTGTTAGCATGCAGAAAGCTTTGTCAGTCTTTTTTTTTTTTTTTACAAAAGCCATATGATACAGTTTGATGTTATGTTAAATAGCTTGATATAGTTAAATAGGCTTATCTTACTTTGTTTAAAAATTCTCCCACCTTGTCTTCTAGTACTCACATGATTTCTGTTTTTATATTTAAATGTTTGACCCATCTTACATTTATTTTGGAAAATAAACTATAAAGTAAGTATATCTTTATCCAGTGAAGGGTCAGCAAGTTAGCTCTGCCTCCTCAGCTCTCAGAAATGCCGAATTTCTTCTGGGTATTTGAGGCTAAGTAGAAATGTTTGGTTTACTATTGAGGAAATCCTTATAAAGGCAGAGGAAAAACACCTCTCCCAAGTAAAATGCAGGTTGAGTATGTTGACATAAATGAACCAGATGTTGCATTTTTGAGAAATGTTTTTGCACTTATTCACCTGAAGTCATTTGTCTTTAGAATTCTGATTTTGTTCTCCTCTCACCTTGTTTAGGTTGCGAGTTATAAGGAGTCAGCATCATATAGAAGCACTTGTTGAGCATCGCAATGGCCAGGTTGTGGTTTCGGCATCCACTCGTGAATGGGCCATTAAAAAGCACCTTTATAGCACCAAAAATGTGGTGGCTTGTGAGAGTGTAGGACGAGTGCTGGCACAGCGGTGCTTGGAAGCAGGAATCAACTTCATGGTCTACCAACCCACTCCTTGGGAGGCAGCGTCAGACTCGGTATTTTGTTCTCACTACTTAGTTAAAAGGTGTTGTGTTAATTCTTGACATTAGATACTTAAGTAGTTTGTTTATTAAGTTCTTTCCAAGTGTCTGACCCTGAGTTGAGTGTCCTGATGCGCAATACCTCACTTCAGCTTCACAGCAGCCTTAGCGTCAGGACTCATGGTCCCTCTTCTGTAAGTTAGCTGAGGTTGGCTGGCTGGCTTAGTGTGGCGCTGAGCAGCGTTCAAACCCACGCGACCAATTCTATAGCCGTAACATTGACTTCTCTGCAGTTCATATAGTATCTTGTCCACAGAATATTTTCAAGTACTGTTAATCCTTAACATCTCTACACTTTGTTTTATCTGTGTCATTAAGATCACTTTCTGAAAAAACTAGTGTGGGCTGGGAAGTCAGCAAGGAGCAGATCGGTGGTTCACTTCCTCTTGTGAAGTGAGCTATTTATGGTCAGCTTGTGGTTCAGTTGTTAAGTCAGCTTGTAGTATTGACTTCATCTTTTCCTTTTTTCTTGATCTTCAAAACCAGATGAAACGACTACAGATTGCCATGATAGAGGGTGGTGTGGTGCTACAGGAGCCTCGGAGAATCTATGAATGAAGCAGAAGCATTGTTTGGAGCTTGTAAATGAAAGCTGTCAGCTCTTCATTCATCAGAAGAGAGCCTCTGGAAGAACTGCCAACTTGGACGTTTTATACAAAAATCTAACAGCAGAATGTTACTAGTTAAGGTTGTCTCCTTCAGTGTGTTTATCTTAAATTCAGGGCTGAATTCTTCCCCTCTTGGACGTGAGAGAAGTATCTGAGAAAAACTTGCCGATTATAGTTAACTTCTGAAGGACAAATTAAATTGTTGTTTATAAGTTAAAGAATAAATATATATTATTAACTCTTACTTTCTAGTTATATGAAATTTTCTCCAACTATGATCTCTCTGTGGCAAGGATACACATTAAAGATTTGTGCACTTGTCCCCGTGGCTAGGTCATAGCAGGTGGTCTCAATAAATGAGAGCTGTTGCTGCTCAGGTGTGGAGGCTTTTATTTTAATAGATGTCAGTATCAGTTTATTATAAACAGTAATGTGAAGATAAGAGCAAATCCTAACCTTATTGGGGCTCCTGAATCCTAACAGAACCAGATTTGAAGAAAGGAATGCAGTGAGAAAAGGAAACAAGGTGAGTCCATACCATCTAGGGAAAATTTGTTGGGAGATGGAAGCCTGAAGTACATTTGGGTTAATTTAAAGTTGAAGTAGGGTAGGTGGGAATCATGGCAGGTCTCTTCAACGAGTGATTAAATCAGTAAGGTGTTAACTGATTTTGGCTATTTAAGAAACGTGGTGAGGAAGAGTAAGTAGTAAGCAGTTAGAGTGGCGTCTAGCGTATTCCCCCCACATTTTAAATGTGTACTCCAATTGTGTATTTATATAGAAATTGAAATAACATTACTATCATCAGTCCGAGTATTCAGGGTATTATTTTAAAAGGGAAAGTTATGCAGTCAACATTTTTTAAAAGTTTGATTCATTCTAAAAGGCCTTCAGAATGCAATGCTTAGTAGTTTCCCTTTTGATTTGTAGATATTCTGGTAGAGACATTGATAGGTATATATTAATAGTTCTGGGCTTCCCTGGTGGTTTAGATGGTAAAGAATCTGCCTGCAATGCAGGAGACCTGGATTTGAACCCTGGGTTGGGAAGATCCCCTGGAGAAGGGAATGGCAACCCACTCCAGTATTCTTGCCTGGAGACTCCCATGGACAGGAGTCACAGAGAGTCAGGCAGGACTGAGTGTCTAACACCATCACCATGATAGTTTTAATATATTCTTCCCTCATCTTAAAGATTGGAGCATCTCGTCCTGAAGACCACAGTTCTAGAAGGCTGTCAAACCAGTCTGGAATTCAAGGGAGGACACAAGACCATGGACCGGGGTAGTGTGGCTTTGGAAATTGACAAAAATAGGGTTCACCTGTAAGTGGTAGTGCCTCAGTGGCTTAGTGGAGTCTGACTCTGCGACCCCGTGGACTATAGCTGGACAGGCTCCTCTGTCCGTGGAATTTCCCAAGCAAGAATATTGGAATGGGTTGTGATTTCCTTCTCCAGGGGATCTTCGGCATCTAGAGATCAAACCCACCTCTCCCACACTGGCAGGTGGATTGCTTACCACTGCACCACCTGGTGGGGACTTTTTTCTACGAGGCGTAGGATCTAGATCATCTCAGTATCAAGAATTCCTTCAGTTTGGGCAATTTTTGAGACTTGTAGGAAGTTTGATGAAGAGTGTTACAAAGGCAACAACGATGCCAAGTAGGGAAAAGGGGGCAGAGGGGAGAGGAGGACATGGAGCAGACCTATGTTAACAGTGATGGCAGGGGTGGGAAGAAGTGCTGATTTAAAAACCAGAGGCGATGTGGGCTCCCTATCCCCACACCATGGCTGCAGTACCTGCTTTACTGCAGTTCCTTCAGACGCTGTTGACTGGTCTGTTTTTACTCTTTCCGGCTCTACTTTCTCCTACCATGCCTCTTAATATTCCAGGTCTATGTAAATAACGTTCTCCCCTTGTAGGGATTGCAAAGGAATTGCTGTGGAGCTTAAATGACCTCTGATTTCCAGGGCGGGGTCTACGATCCTTCACCCTAGGGGATCAAATACAAGATGAAACACCTGTGGGCAAGCAGGTGGCCGCGCCGCCCGCTGCGCATCCGGGGCTGGTGGCCGCGCGCGGGGGCTGTGCGTTTCCCCACTCCCCCACCCGCTCTCCGCTAGCCCTTTAAGGCGCCGGCGCGGCGCTTGCGTGTAAGCGCGAGGCGACACGTGGCCGCACTCACTGGGCGCCCTCCGCCGAGCTGCTGCGTGGCCATGGACATAGGCGCCGATGAGTTCGAGGAGAGCCTCCCTCTGCTGCAGGAGCTCGTCCTGGGCGCGGACTTCGTGGGTAAGGCCCCGGGACCCTAGGCTTTGGCGCCAGAGCCGGCTGGCCGGAGTGCCTGGGGGGTATGGTGCTTGGGCGGGACCGAGCGGGAGAGGTGAGGCCCAGCGGGGTGGTCTCCAGGCCGCAGGAGACTCAAGCAGGGACCCTCGGAAGGACAGAGGGACTCCACAAGTTTGGGCAGTGGGATGTTGGTCAGCAGTTCCACTCGTAGCCCCCGTGTGGTCCGGGTGGAATGGGGTGACCTGGCATCCTAGCTTTGACTCCCTCTGTTTTCCTTTCTCGACCTCACCTGGCTTCTGGAGTGCCAAGAAGGTGAGCCAGTACTTTTGCCACCTGCAGCGTTTATAGCATGAAGAGCCTTGCGGTGGTCTGTGCCTGGGGACTCTTGTCTGTTTTTGCCTCCGCTGCAGGTCTGGACATAGAGTTCACCGGCCTGCGTTCTAACCTGTCTGGGCCCCAGCAGATCAGGTAAAGCTAAAGCTGCCTTAGAGTGGGGATGGAAAGCCTCTTTTGTGCCCTGGTTGGCCAGTGTTACTTAGTAGCAGGCACCCTGTTGGCAACGGGCAGGCAGGACAGCTTTTTGTGCGGGGCTTTGGGGACCTGGCTGGCTTTCCACAAAAGGCAGGTTCCCTAGTTGTTGTAACAAGGAAAGCGCTGCCCTGGTTTGAGAGCTGCTAACCCAGTGTGGAGGCTGCTGCCTTGATAGCATCTCCTTGCCTCTGGACTGAGACGTCTGTTTTTCCACAGCCTGTTTGACTTGCCATCAGAGTGGTATCTAAAGACCCGTCAGAGTGTTCAGCAATTCACCATCTGTCAGATCGGTGAGTTTAATCGTCAGCTGTTTGTTATGAGTTATTGAAAAAAAACCTCATTGTCTCTGTGTTTCCTACTGAAAAAACTGCTTTGGCACCGTTCTGAGACACTGGCTGTCATTTTGCATGCTCATTTGGTTTTTGGCCATGTCGTACCTGTGAGACCTATCTCTTCAGAGTAAGCAGAAACTTGATCTGCATGCCAGAATCAACATTAAGGCACTTGGACCATCTTCCAGGGGAAAATGTGTATGTTTTCTTTAAACAAAAATCATACATGGCAAGATCATACTATAAATATGTTGTTCTGCATCTCCCCCCCCACCCCCACCAAAAGGATTTAGAGCTCTTTCTATATCAGCTTAAATCAGCTTATAAAGATTTCCGGTTCAGTTTTTAAAATTTTTTTTAATTGGAGGAAATTACTTTAAATTTTGCATTGGTTTCTGCCATACATCAGCATGAATCAGCCATAGGTATATGAATGTCCCCTCCATCTTGAACCTCCAACCCCATCCCTCTAGGTTTTCACAGAGCACCTGATTTCAGCTCCCTGTATCATGCAGCAAATTTCCACTGGCTCTCTACTTTACGTGTAGTAATTTATTTGTTTAGTACTCCTAACTGTGTATCTTTTGGCTCTATCTCCTAATGATGGATGCTTTGGTTGCCATTTGTATGTGATGAAACAAGGTTGCATTGGCTGTCTTAGCTCTTATATATTACTGTGCACTCCTGAGTGTGTGTGTTCGGTGTACTTGTAAAGGACCAAAGTAAATATTTTAGGTTTTGTGGGTCATTTGGTCTACGTATGAAGTTACAACAACTCAGTGCTGCCCGTCTTAATGAGGAATCAGCTGTAGTCAATACATAAATGAATGAGCCTGGCTGTATTTCAGTAAAACTTTGTTTTAAAAAAATCAGAAAAAAAAAAAACTGTAAGTGTCAATATTCTGTGTTTGAACAGCCATTCACAATTATTTCTGTATTTCGCGTGTATTACAGTTTGACAGTTCTCATGTTTTGACTCTTTCCCTTCCTCCCTTCCTTCCTTCCTTTGTTTCTTTTTTAGAAGTTATCCTAAAGTAACTTTGGGTGCAAAGAACTGACTCTTCATTTGATACTCAGAGAGGCAGGAACCCCATTCCAGTGCTAGAGGAGATATGTTCAGAATGTTTTTTGAGTTAGCTTCCGGTAGCTTTTCTCTTGGTATTCATTCTGTCCACCGTCATTCTTCTAGGATTGTCTGTGTTCTCCAGTATTGAAGGCGAGTCGAACAAGTATGTATAAAGACCTTTGGCAAAACACATGGCTCTAGCCTGTTTCTCTTCTCCACCTGCTCCCCCTTCAAATTCTGCTTCAGGCTCTGAACCCCTTTGGCCCTGGATGCTCCATAGTTTCTCCTGCTTCCGGGCCCTCCACCCTGCCTCCCCTGTAGATACCGGCTGGTCCTTCAAGTCTCTCAAAGCAGCAGCATCCCTGGGGGCCTCTCCCAACACCCCCGGACCTTCAGTGCCTCTTTCCGCATGTCCTCTCCTGTGTGTATCTTCTGAATCGCAGTCAGCAGTGTTATAATGATGGTGACGTAGCTCCTAGGCCCCAGCGGTCAGAAAGGATGTGAATGGCAGCCCCCCCTCTCAGATGGGGGTCAGACTCTGTGCCTTTTTTCATTGGCCCTCAGCACCAGCCTAGTACTTGAAACACAGCTGGCGTTCAAATATAGCGAACCCTGGAATAATGCAGGGTTTGAACTGCCTGGGTCCACTTACACCCACTAAATACACACTAGGGTACTGCATGATCCACAGTGGGGTCTGTGGGTGCAGAAGGCCTGTGGCTAGACCCAGGGCAGGCTCTAACTTATACTCAGATTTCTGACTGTAAGAATGGCTGGCACCCCTAACCCCCGTGTTGTTCAGGGGTCAGCTGGACTTCTCAAGGGAAGGAGGTGCCCACTCAGAAGCCTGCTCCGTGAGCCAGAATTTTAAGTGTTTTTTGTGTTTTTTTCCTTCTGTTTGTTTTTGTTTCTAGGTATGTAGCTCATTCATGTAACTTCTTCCTCTTCCCTACGACATTTGGGGTTTTGGACTCAGAGTTCTCTTTCCAGGCTTCCAGTGTTCAGTTTCTGAACCAGTATGGCTTCGACTATAACAAGGTATGGCCTCGGAGGAGGGGGCCTGGAGGGTTGAGGGGCCGGGTATCCACCTGGTCCAAGTCCGTTTCCTGTCACCCTTCTGACTTGTCCACGTACAAGCGGACAACCGAAGGTTTCTTTCTCTGCTGTTGCACAGAGGATGCCTCTGACTCGTCTCCTGGTCTCTCCCTATCTTTAGTTTCTCAAAAATGGAATCCCCTATATGAACGAAGAACAGGAGAAGAAAATTAAGCACAACATCCTGACTGGGAACTGGAAAGTTCGCAGGTAAAGCCCGCTTCTCCGGGTGCTCTGTGGGTTTCTTTGTTGCTGGTGTGTTTCTGGCTTTGTAGGGTGTGGTGACCTCACACCGTCCCCTGAAGCTGGGCTCAGCCACACATGATAGCCCGAAGTGCTGGTGATGCCATTCCTATGCCTGAGATCAGAAAGCTCTCACTGCATTGCGTGGGATTTTAGTGTTTAAGATGAAGGGGCAAAAGAACTGACTCTTAACTTGGTCCTCAAAGAGGCAGGAGCTCCATTCCAGTGCTAGAGGGGGAAATGGCTCTGTGGGACTCGCTGTGAGAGCCTTAGGGAGTTTTCAAGGCAAGTCACAGGTAACCTTGACCGTGTGGCCCGGCTTGGGCACGTTACCCCATGAGTTTGATCCTGCTGTGTTCCCCGAGGGTGGGGTCTCTGCCCTTTCACTTTGGCCTCCGGTACCCGTTGTTGGATGTGAACCCGGTCGTGCTGTGAGGCTTGGGCTAGACCTGTTCGGTGGCCTTGTGTGCTGGAAGGAGCCGGCCACCAGGGCCCAGGTCTGCTGAGCCTGTTGTGTGGTTCTGAACCAGTCCTTTAAGCTCCTTGGGCTTTCGATTCTTTGCCTTTATCAGGGAGAGGGTTAAATTAGACAGCTTTTAATTCTGGAATGTTATGATTGTCTGGTCCAAATCATTATGTAACGTTGGAATTGTATCCTTGTTCATGGTTTTATATAAAAATACTGCTTTGGAAGGGAAAAGCAACTTGAATTTTTAATCTCCTGTTATGTTCAAACGTTGGAGAAAAGGTTTTCCTTTTCTCCACATGACGCAGTGTTCTTGTATTTCTAACACAGGAGAAGATGTACTTACCAAAGTTCCTTTCTTTTCCGTTCTTCACCAGATGGTGCTTTTCCACCTCTGAGGATGGGTACTGAGGAGGCAGGCCCAATAGGGTCTCTTAGTGTTGGCTCTCTCCCAGCCCCTTCCCCCCACAGGCCGGTCAGCAGGAGGGGGAGTGCCCCTGTGGACGGACCGGAGGGTGGGCACCAGATGTTTGCTTTCCTCTTGCGACACAAGACTCGGAAAAGAAATGGTCTTTCTGGAGTCCGTTTTCTTGCCATGATCACAGGGTGAAAACGGGCACCTTCAGAATGCCCTCCCACATTAGCGTTTTCTCACATGCCCATTTTCAGCTCTCTGGACAAAGAGCAGATCAAGGTGGTGATTGACGAGGTGACGCGCTGGCTGGACCTGGCGGAGGAAGGGGACTGGATGACCCTCCCTGGCATCGCTGGTAGGCAGGGGGCGGCCCCCCGACCTGGGAGCTGGCAGTGTGACCTGTGGCGGGCATCCCTTCACCTCTGGTGGATCCTGGGCCTCGGCTCTGCAGACACATGGTTCCCGTGATTAGATGGAGCTCTGACCTCGAGTGGGAGGTTGGAGGGCTGTCCGTCTGTTCTGAATTTTAAGGTTGAGGAAGTCAGGTTCCACTCAGCACCATCCTTCTCATCCCAATCCTCAGTGCCCCGTGGACTCTTCCTTTGTTAACGAAAGTAGGTTAATCTCTGAATGTTCCCCACAGTGCATTGTGGGATCGCTGCCCCACATGCGCGGTTCTCAGCCTTGCTCCCTGGACCCCAGGGGTCTCTGAGACCCTTTCCACGGGGTTCATGAGGTCAGAATGGTGGTCTAAACACCGCTCGGCTGCCGCTTGCCCCATCCTTGTGCCATCTGCGCTGGTGGGCCCGCAGCCCCTGTGAGTGCTGCCCCTGACGCCTCCGCACAGGTGGGCGTGGGAGCATTTGACCACACAGCACTCATGCTCTTCGTTACCACTTCTGGTCTAAGAAAGATTCTGACTTAACCTTTTGAGTGAAATAACAATTCTTAGTTTTATTAAATTGCAACATTTCATTGCTCATCTTTTACAACATTCTGTGGATAAGTAGAAGTGTGGAGGAAATAAATGTGCATGAACATGACTGCTGCTTCCTGAAGTACAGCGGTTGGCTCAAGTAAAAGCACTTGGGCAAGATTTTGTGTTGAGAGCTGAGTTAGCTGCCTTTTACTTTTTAAATTTTTTTTTAAAGAATGTAATTTTTTTTTCTTGGACATGCTGTGAGGCTTGTGGGATCTTGGTCACCTGAGCAGGAATTGAACCTGGGCCCTTGGCAGTGAAAGCAAGGAGTCCTAATCACTGGACTGCCAGGGAATTCCCCAAAGGAATGTAATTTTTACTTGAAGGAACTGACTGGTTATTTCGATGTGGGTATTTTCAGTCATCTTCTGAAGTGAAAAGAGTAAGCCTTGTCTTCAGGGACACTAATTCCCAGTGTTTGCTAGAGATGAAATTTGAGCTTTCAGTCAGAAACTGAAATTTTAGAAGACTTCATCTCTCACTATTAGCTCGACAGCTTTATGAGACCTTTCTGATGAGATCAGTGACCACATGTACCAGTGTTTCTTGATGGCATCGTATGATATGTGAGCATTTGGAAGGTGGTGTGTATAACTCAGGAAACCAACATTCTCCAAATAACCAGTGCATAGTGTCACACAATCGTAGGCAAAAGTGTAATGGGTTTATTATTTTTCAAACCTTACCATTTTTAGTTTCATGTGTATGGTTTTAATTTCTGACATGGTGGACATCAAGACCTATAACCCACACACACAAAGTCTCTCTGGGGCCCTCCGTCTGAGAGTGGCCCTGAGATCAGAGATGCAGAGAAAGCTGCCCAGGGTCATGCTGGGCCACCCCGGTCACTGGGCCTGGGGACAGCAAAGAGCTGTCTTCCCACGTGCTCCCTCCATCTCTCTGCTGCTGCTCTCCGCAAGGCTTCTGAGGGGAGGGTGGGCTGCCCTGCCAGGGTCTCTGGTGGTTCCGTCAAGCTTTGTTCCCTTGCTGCAGGCTTCCAGGCCTTTGAGATCCAGCTCGTGCTGAGGAAGGCCCTCCCTGACATCTGGACAGCGCTGAGAGACCAAGGGGTGAGTTCCCACCTGGAGGGGCCAGTCTCCCAGGGGAGACTCCATCATTTCTTTCTCCTTTGGCCAAATCTGGCCTCTGTGAAAGGCTTCTTCCACCCGCTCCATCCCTTTTGACACGAGGGACTGCTTCTTTGGCCCCATTCCCAGGATGCTGCATGCTAAGCCCCTCCAGTCGTGTCTGACTCTTTGAGACCGCGTGGATTGTAGCCCGCCAGGCTCCTCTGTCCATGGGATTCTCCAGGCAGGAATACTGGAGTGGGTCGCCATTTCCTCCTCCAGGGAATTTTCCCGACCCAGGGACGGAACCCGTGTCTCTTACATCTCCTGCATTGGCAAGCAGGTTCCTTACCACTAGTGCCACCTGGGAACCCCAGAGAGGCCTCCTGGCTTCTGCCTGGTGGCTCAGTGATGAGGAATCCACCTGCCATCGCAGGAGACGTGGGTTTGATTCCTGGTCCGGCAAGATCCTGCGTACTGCGGTAAGCCTAAACCCGTGCACCACAGCCGTGGAGCCTGGGAGCATTCCCAGGATGCGGGAGCTTGTCGCCTCCTCTTGCTCTCAGGTGGTTGTGAAGAAGGTGAGTACGCAGCACCGCTGGTATCTTGAGAACACCTCCTGTGATCGAGAGAGCTGCTGGAAGGAGAAGATCCTTCTCTCTGCGAGGGGCTTTTCCGTGTTCTTCCAGATGCTGGTGAAAGCTCGGAAGGTAGGGAAAAATTTCTCTCTCCTTGGTCTTTCACGGTGTTTTGTATCTGACTGTAGATGCTAATGAGTCCTTCAACACTAAACTCAAGATTCCTTGACATAAGTGATTCCTTTTTGTTAACTAACTTTGTGGATCTAACCTTGCTTTTATCAAGTCATGATAGGTTAATTTGGGGAAAGACTGTCCCTCTGAAATTTTACCATTCCCTTGCTCCTTTTGGGCACACAGGCATTTCAATACGAGTTGACCTAAAACTGCTTGGGGACCGTGTGTGTCTGCTTCATAGCTTAGATCCCAGTGTGGCTGGGGCCTCGAGTCCCTCTGACCCACTGGTTTGCCTTCCTAGCATTTAAGCAGTCAGGCTGCCTTTCATGGGAATGGATTGCGCATGGGGATGGAATTACCATGTTGTCAGAATGCAGTGGGTTCTAAAGCTACACCCTTTGCTAGAGACAGCAGTTAGTCTATGGCGTTTGTTTTATTTTTAAAATTTCATTTCTCTCACCTGTCGATTTCCTCCAAGTAGCCCTTGGTGGGACATAACATGATGATGGATCTGCTGCATCTCCATGAGAAGTTCTTCAGACCTCTCCCAGGTAGGGCCGACCCGTCCCTCTCCTTCCTCTGACCTCAGCTTGCCATCGGGCAGGGGGATCGGCCCAGCATTGTGCTCCTGAGGCAGCCCCTACAGTCATCAGGTTTCCGGAGAGGTCGGGTGCATCTGTGCCTGTTACTGTTTTCTTGCAACTGGGTGACTTTCTCAGGGAGAAAAACTTATATTTGATTGATACTCCTCCCCGCATTACAGAAGTTGTTCAGACTCATTGTCAAACTTAGTGAAATCAGAGATGTGCAGGGGAGACCAGCTACCTTTAATCACAGCTGTAATCCTAACACTTTTTGCTTTTTCTTCTGTTTTGGCTTTTCCATGGGCTTCCCAGATGTCGCACTGGTATAGAGCCTGCTTGCCAGTGCAGGAGACGTAAGAGACCCGGGTTTGATCCCTGGGTTGGGAAAATTCCCTGGAGGAGGAAATGGCAACCCACTCCAGTATTCTTGCCTGGAGAATGCCAGGACCGAGGACCCTGGCGGGCTACAGTCCATGGGGTTGCAAAGAGTCGGACATGACACACACACATAATCTTTAACACTTTTTGCTTTTTCCTTTGTTTTGGCTTTTACATATTTGACCACATGATGTATTTTATTTTGGTTTTTTTCCCACTTACCCAAAGCATTAATTTATGTCCTTAACCTGAAATCATTTCTGTGGCCACATGGTACTGTCTAATGGTTGTGCCAGTCTTTTCCTTAACTGATGCTGTTGGACGCACTGCAGTGTGATGGAACATTAACAGCCTGCATTCAAGAGTCACGCTTGAATCCTCATTCTTTCCCTTGTTACATATGATCTTGAGCAAGTTACTTTAATGTAACTGTTCTGTTTCCTTGTCTGTAAAATGGGGGTGATAAAAGTATCAGTATCAGAACTGGGGACTAAATGAACTCACAATGCAGAGAACACTGTTTTTACATTGTTCAGTCGCTCAGTCACATCCTACTCTTTGCAACTCCACGGGCTGCGGCACACCAGGCTCGCCTGTCCTCCACTGTCTCCCAGAGTTTGCTCAAGCTCATGTCCGTTGAGTCGATAATGCCATCCAACCATCTCATCCTCTGTCACCCCCTTCTCCTCCTGCCCTCAAGCTTTGCCAGCATCAAGCTCTTTTCCAGTGAGTCAGCTTTTTGCATGAGGTGACCAAGGTATTAGAAAACACTAGCATAGATTGAAAGGGGTAAACAGTTTCCCTGAGATTTCTCTAGGATCAGTTTGAGCATCTTGAGAGAATTGAGGAAGAATTAAGGGTCAAATAATCACTCCCCTGAAACTAAGCAGGCAGGCAAACAAAGAAATTGCTGAAACAAAAGCTGTGGCAGACAGGTCCCTGGAGGCGACCACCTGGCCCCTTGGTGAGTGATGTGCAGGTGCTTGAGGTGGTGAGTGGTCCAAGGTGGGGCAGATGAACCTCTTACCTTGTGGGAATCCAGAGTTAATGCCTCAAACTGGGAAACTGCTGAGCAGTGTAAGCTTCGTTTAGAAATGGTGGGAATACACACCAAAAGAAAACATTGAAGATCATTGTCTTCTGGGAATAGAAAATGGGAGGTTAGTGAGAAGAGGGTGAGCAGAGAGATTTCAGTTTTTTTTTTTTTTTTTTTATCTGTTGAGTCGATAATGCCATCCAACCATCTCATCCTCTGTCACCCCCTTCTCCTCCTGCCCTCAAGCTTTGCCAGCATCAAGCTCTTTTCCAGTGAGTCAGCTTTTTGCATGAGGTGACCAAGGTATTAGAAAACACTAGCATAGGTGATTTTTATCAAGGCACTTACAATTTTTAACTTACTGGATTTTTCTCTGAACAGTTATTAACAGGTTTCACATTTGCCTTTTCAGTAATTCTCCCTTTTACCCCTGACTACAACTTTGCAAACTGCATTAACTAAGGTTGGTCATAGACAGTAGTCTGAATTTAATGAAAAACTGTTTGACCTCTGCTGTTCCAAAGGGTGATGTCGGGTTGGTTTAAGATTCAGAAATCCTTAATGATTAGGAGCAAGAATGTTTTCAAATCCTGTTTTGTTTCGTTTGCTTTATTAACCAGTGTTGGTGACAAGCTAGACTGGAGAATTTCTTCCCATTTTTACCAGTGAACTCACTTCTGACTATCTGGGTCTTTCCCTTCAGAAAGCTACGATGAATTTAAGCTGAATATCCACAACCTATTTCCTGTTCTCATTGACACCAAGAATGTGACAAAGGATATCTGGAAGGTAATTAAACTCCTTTGGGAAAGGAACACTTCATTAGTCCCAGGAACATTTAGCATTCTCACTCTTTTTAGACATTGTTCTATGAACCCTTTTCTCATATTTTATAGCTAGTATTTTTTTTTTTTAATTTGACTACCTGTGAGTCATATTAACTTATGTGTAATCTTTTTTTCTTTCCCTCATTCAAGTTCTCACGCTTTGACTTATGGGTGTCTAGTTCATGGGCTTATTTAGATGGGACAACAGAACAACTTATTCCAGAGCTTGGTAGATACCTCGTGTGTGTTTTCGATGTGCTTAAAAGTTGTCAGGGTTGGGGGCAGGGACCCCACTTGAAAAATTTTGCAGTGCATTCAAGTCGTGGAACTTCAACCCAGATGACAAAATCACCTGAGAAGGTAAATACTGACACCTGGGCCGCACCTTTAGCTCCTCTGGTGCGGAGGGGCTGGGAGTGGCATTTCTCCAGCTGCCGGGCGACTTCTGTTGTCCAGCTGGGGTTGTGCACTGCCCACGGAGAAGGGAAGCACGCAGCTAGTTAAGATCCTGCTTAGAAGTTAAACTGAGGAACCGATCAGTGTTTTAAACAAAGCCTCAAGCTGATGCCACAGACCTGGGACCGGGTTACTTGGTACGTCTTTGCCCAGGGACACACTTACTGCTTGTACCTATATTTGTAGCTCTGACGGTGTGCTGTGACGCTGCCCGGCTCCATGTAACCGAGTCATAGGGCAAAGTGGGGAGGACGTGGGGGCTGATCTGAGGGAGTGAGGATAAGGTGAACTCTACGACTTGGTGACCTGGCAGGCCCTTAGACTGCCCAGCGACCATATGAGTTCTTGGCCACAGTCTGATGCCTTGGAGTCCTCAAACACTTGTCTTTGAAGGGAGATGGTATGAGTTGTGTTTGTAGCAGTGTTTTTTTTTTTTGTTAATTTTTTACTGGAGGACAATTGCTTTACAATATTGTGTTGGTATCTGCCTATCTGCCATACATGAACATAAATCAGCCACAGGTACACACTGTCCCCTCCCTCTTGAGTCTCCTTCCCATCTCTCCCCTCTAGGTTGTCGCAGAGCACGGGGCTGAGCTCCCTGGGTACACAGCAAATTCCCACTGGCTATCTGTTTTACATACGGTAATATGTTTCCTTGCTACTCTCTCAATTTGTCTCACCCTCTCCTTCCCACGCTGTGTCCACACGCTGTTTTCTCTGCATCTCCACTGCTGCCCTGCATATAGATTCATCAGTACCATCCTTCGAGAGTCCACGTGTGTGCTAGTATAGAGTATTTGNATTTGTCTCACCCTCTCCTTCCCACGCTGTGTCCACACGCTGTTTTCTCTGCATCTCCACTGCTGCCCTGCATATAGATTCATCAGTACCATCCTTCGAGAGTCCACGTGTGTGCTAGTATAGAGTATTTGTCTTTCTTTTGCTGACTTTCTTCACTCTGTGCAGTAGGCTCTAGATTCATCCACCTCATTAGGACTGACTCATGTATTCTTTTTATAGCTGAGTAATATTCCATTGTATGTATGTATGTACGTGGCAGTTTTTTTCTAGGCTGGGTTATTGGGTCCCAACCAAGTATACTAGGTACTCTGTCATCAGAATTAGGGAATAAGGGCAGGTGTGCGTGAAGAGAGAGGCGTTACAGGAGGACCTAGAGTTTTCAAGGTCATTTTTAATGGCCATTTGGTGATACCTGAGGGTGCTTGCATGCTCTGTCGTGTTCGACTCTTTGTGACCTTGTGGACTGTAGCCCACCAGGCTCCTCTGTCCATGGGATTCTCCAGGCAAGAATACCGGGGTGTGGGTAGCCATATCCTTCTTCAGGGGATCTTCCCAAACCAGGGACTGAACCCTCGTTTCCTTCTCTGCAGGCGGACTCTACGACTGAGCTACCTGGGAAGCCCATTAAGCAGAGAGGAAACAAAACCTCAAGTGTCTTACTCTCATTTGTTTTCCATAATTACAGGAACTCAATTTCCCAAAGGTTTCAAATCTCTCAGAAGTTTATGAAGTCCTGAACAGGTAAGGAGGCTGTTTTCGGGGGGCTGCTTAGAGAGCAGGGGTTCCCAGCTGGGCCAGTTTTGTTCCCCAGGGCACCTTTAGCAGCACCGAGACATTTTGGTTATTTCTGCTCAGGGCACTCCTGGCACCCCATGAGCAGAAGCCAGGATGCGCAGGAGAGCCTTCAACACAGAGAATTCTCCAGTCCCAGATGTCACTGGTGCCGAGTTGAGGACCCTGTTCTAGAGGGGAGGGAACCTGGGAGGGACTTAGATCTGTTTGATTATGTGGTCTTTTCTGTTGGCCGGGGTTTTATTTCTCCTGTGATCTGTTTGATTGTTGGAGGTGATAAGCTCCATGGGAACAGGTTTTATTCTTCTTTTGGACTCTTTCTCTTGGGTCTAAACAGTGCGAGGCACAGTAGGTGCACATTAAACTCCTGAGCGACTGAATGGACCTGGGACCTGGTCAAGCTCCTGACCTTCCCACAGGAAGGGCGGGCGTGCTCAGTGCTGACCCCTCGCGGGCGTCTGGCACCATGGGCCCCCCTCCCCCTTCCCTTCCGTCGCGCCCTCTCCTGGATCTCTCTCATTTTCTGGTGAGGCTCTTCGTCTCTTCTCTGTGTGCTCCCGTGTCGTCCCTTACCTCTCGAGGGTCCCTCCGCGGCTCTCTTCTTCCTCCTAACCGTGCCCCTGGGTAACCGAGTCCACCCCGTCAGCCTCAGTGACCACTTCCGTCCCACCGGGGCTCCAGCCTCCTGCTTGCTGTCTTCGGTTGTTCCTGCCCCACGAAGCCTGCAAGCACCTTCTCTGTCCCCCTGTCCCCCTGTCCATCCGTCAAGCCTGCTCCTGTGTCTGCAGCAACTTCTGCCACTTCCTGACGGCACCCAGAGCTGGGCTGATGGCATCTGGGCAGGCGCTGAATCTAAACCTGATGGGCTTAAACCCCACCTTTGTGGCTCACTGGCTTTGTGCGTGACCTTGAGAGAACGGCTTAACCTCTGCGTGCCTTAGTGTTAGCACCTGAAGAGAGGGAGTCGTTTGCATGGGACGCCCACGCTGGCCCTGGGGGCCACACGAGCTCACACGCGGGTGGGGAGCCGTGTCGTCCACACTTAACCGGACGTCCACTGCGGGGCAGATCCACGGCCACCTTACGGCCCAGGCACATGCTGCTTGACAGATGAGGAAACTGGGCTTCACAGCTACCAAGCGGATAGAGAGGCGCCAGTAGATTTTGCTGGGAATCAAATGAAGGGAGGATTTCGCTGTTGAGTGCTGCCCCCATTCACCCACGTGCCAGGACCGCGCCCTGGAAAGCGTCCTGGAGCCGGACGTCCCGTATCTTCTAGTCTAGTCCTGTCAGTTTTACTCTCCTAATGTCCTTAAACTCTTCCTTTTTCGGTATCCTCAAGAGTCACTGCCTTCACTGAGGCCTTTACCTTTTATTCCCGTGATGTCGGTGGCTCCTACCTGGTAGCTGGGTGGCCTGACCTGCACTGTTTCCTGAGCTGAGTGATCACCACTGGAGTGACCTTCACAACGTGAACTCGACTGGACCGTGTTTCTAGTCTCTCTTCCTGCGGCTCCTGAAGCCCCCACGCATCACCTGAACGCTTTCCTGACCCCCGCCCTTCACCCGGGCTGCAGCCACACGCGTCTCAGCGTCACGGGTCGGGGCTCACCCTTTCTGTCGGGTGTCTGCCTGCTCTTCTCTCGGCTCAGAATCCCTGGTGCTACCCATTCTCCACTCAGCCCCCCCGAGTCCCTGGGGCTCAAGGCTCTCCTGTCAGACCAGCACCTTGGGCATTGCATTCCTAGGATGCGCTGGACAGTTAAGGCCCCGAGGGCAGAGCCGGCCTGGAGTTGGTCCCGGTGCCTCGGCTGGGACCACACGTCTGGTAGATGCTCAGAATGACGCAGGTGGAACTTCTCGCGTCACAGTTCTTTCATCTGTCCTGTTGCCTGGTTACAAAGACCCATCTGCCCATGCCTAGATCCCTGGTTTTTGTTTGCCTAGGTTTTACTTTATATTAGAACCACAGTTTGTTGCGATTTAAAAGGAGTCCCGGTCCTTACTGTGTGTGTGTGTGTGTGTACATGCGTGTGCATAGTCATGCCTGACTCATTATGACCCCGTGGACTGTAGCCCACTGGGCTCCTCTGTCCATGGGATTCTCCAGGCAAGAATACTGGAGTGGGTTGCCATTTCTTTCTCCAGGGGATCTTCCCGAGCCAGGGATGGAACCCGTCTCTTGTGCCTCCTGCACTGGCAGGCAGGTTCTTTCCCAGCGGTGCCCCCTAGTCCCAGTAGGAGGAGGGAGAGGGGAGCACATGGGGAGACTGTTTTCAGTGAACGTTCTTTACCTTTCTTCTCTCCTAGTGACGTGAACCCCACCAAGAACTCCGGGCCGGTGATCATTCACGCCAGCAGGTGTGAGAAGTACGGTAGGTCCCCTGGGCCGGGCTCCCATGTGGTCGGCTCGGCTTTGAGGTGCTGGCGCTTAGGCCCGTCCCCACGCGGAGGTGTGGGGGGGCCGGGTGGGGCTTCTCCAGCGTCCTGTCCACGTTGTAACGCCTCCCTCGAAAGGAGCAGTCCTGGGGGCATCGGTCTGTCGGGAAGCCCTCTGCTTCCTCCTCCCGTGGATGCTCTTGCCACCGTGGGGGGGTGGGGGGCATGTCTAGGTCAAGGTGGCATGAGGCTGGGACAAGGGTCGTGGTCTCTGTAGGAACAGCCGTGGGTCAGTTGTGTTTGCACGGCCGACCGTGGGTGTGGACCTGAGGTGGGGGTGCCCTCTCCCAGGCTGCGTTCTAACCGCTGTCCCTCATGTTTCTGGGAAAACCCTGCAGTGGAGACCAAGTACCCCCACGAAGCAGCATACGACGCCTTCCTGTGTGGGTCAGGTGAGGGCTGCCGCCCCCTTCCAAGGCGGGGGACTCGCGTCATCTTTGCAATAATCCCCCCACCGTCTCTGGCCACACCCCCCGCCCCCATTTACTTCCAGGTGGGCGGCCCCTTGGAAATAAAGCCTGAGTTTGCATATCACAGTAAGGCGGTTGGGTGCGCCTTGGTGTCTGTCTCGTTGCTAGCTTCTTCTCTTCCAGTTCTGTTGAAGGTGGCGCACCTGCTCCTGTGGAAGGTACACAGGTGAGTGTCGCTCTCGTCCTGTGATCGGGTCCGTGGTCGGCAGTAAGCCAGGGCCGCGGGGCGCCCACGCTCTCCCAGAGGAGGAGGGCGCACGTGTTGTGTAAACAGCACATTCATGGGCGCGGGCAGCTCGCCTCCATGGCCGGCCCCCGCCCCTGGGCAGGTCCCTGCCCTCCTGCCTCTTCTTCCGACCTTGGGAAAAGTCCCTGTCAGGCCAGGCCGTGGGTGAGGCTCAGGTTCCAGCCCCTTCCCCAGTAATCCCAGCGCCGTGTGCCCGCTCCATCTATTACCCTCCTATTTCCTCACACCATGTGAATCACGGTGAGCTGAAAAGACGGAGCGTTCCGGGGAATGGATGGTCCTTGCCCGGGTTCACAGTCAGGCTGGGGGAGAGGGCAGGGACTTGGAATAAGGCACCTGCAGGGGAGGTTCTTAAGAGCCCAGACTGGAACCTGAAATGCGTTTTCTAAGGGTCTCAGTGAGCCCTCCTGCAGGGCTCCCCGCGTGGGCACCAGCTGCACACGTGTGCCTCACGCTCAGCAGCACCACCCTTGCCGCACACGTGTGCTCGGTCAGATAGAGCATGCCTGGGCAGAAGCCGAACCAAGTTATGTTCTCTGAGGCCGACTTAGATGTTTTCAGACTGTACCCTGTTCGTCTGGGTACTGCCTGTACTTGTCCATTTTGGCACATGCTGTGTGGACAACCCACTCCTGGAGAATCCCATGGACAGAGGAGCCTGGCGGGCCGTGGTCCATGGGGTCGCAGAGAGCTGGACACGACTCAAGTGACTAAACATGCACGCACTATACATAGAAATAGCCTGTGACACTCTGGTGTGAAGCTTGTAGCTTAAGTGAGATGCTGATAGCCTAAGAAATCCGCCCCCTCCCTGCCCCATCTCCGTCTTCCCTGCTCCCTGACAAAGGAGCAGTGGGGCCTTTTGGTGCCCTGGTCCCTAGGCCTGGCCTCCTGCACTTCTTTCACTCTTCACCACCTAACCACCCTCCTTGGCGTCGAGGGGCTCCGTGGCAGCCCAGGCCCGCCTGACCCCACGGGTCATGCTTTCTCAGGCATGTGGTGGGGGCTGGTGACAGAACCAGGCCGTGGGAGGGAGAGACCGCCCTTTGGACAAAGTGGGGGGTGATGCCCTCTCGAGGGGCAGCAGAGGGGACCTTCCTTTCATTCTCTGACCTGTGGCTGACGTTTGTTGGGCCTGAGGTGTTCACCAAAGTGTCGCCAACAGATGGTGACTCCTGGACTCTCCCCCTGGGCTGGGGCTATGCTGAGAGCTCGCTGGTTGTGGGGGGGACGCCCAGCCACAGAAGCCCTAGAGCTTGTGAGGGGGGTTGGGGGGTGGCGTCAGGCAGCGCCGACCCGCTGTCCCCAGGCTCCGAGCTGCAGCGAAGGACTAGACATGGTGCCCGTAGGCTGAGCGCCGTGGGGTTTTCTGCCTTCACAGCGCTATTCCCATCCCCGAGCCCAGCTTCCCCCTCTACCTGGATGTGCTGGCGCCCTATGTGAACCAGGTGAATCTTATCCGAGCCGGGGTCCCCAAAATCGTAAGTAGACTTCACTCTGCTCTTTGTAGGGGACGGGGACAGGCTTGTGCTAGGACGCAGCATGCTCCTCTGGGCTCTCTTTAGGGCTTGTGACAGGAGCCAGACTCAGAGTCCAGAAGGGTGCTCACACTGAGCCTGTTACTTTGTTTTTCTCATGTTTCCCTGCCAGAAGCAAGGTGACCTCGCCTGTTGCTTCTTTTTCCCCCACCACCACCTCCAGCAGACAGGGCCTTTCCTAGTTTCTCTTTCAGGATGTTCAAGCTGGGTGGGTGGTCAGTCTGTAGGAGCTGTGGGAAATCCCTTTTCCTCCCTGTGTTCTAGAATAAGCTGGGTGGGTGGTCAGTCCATAGGAGCTGTGGGAAATCTCTTCTGCTTCTCCTCCCTGTCTTCTAGAACTTTGCAGGCCCAGACTTCCCCAGCATCCGCCCCCCCATCCTCATCCTCACCGTCAGGAGGTGGCCGGGGGTCAGTGAGCAGCAGGTCTACCGCGAGTTTCAGAACCTCTGCAAGTTCGATGTGAGGAGGCTCACGCGGAGCCAGTTCCTGCTCATGACCAATAAGTTCAAGGAGTAGGTGCCTGGGCTCTGGGCCAGCCCGGCCCCCTGGGGAGCAGGCCCGGCCCCCGCGTCCCTGACTGCGCCCTTCTCTTGGCAGCACGAGGAGCATCCTGAAGGAGTATAAGTGCCACCCAACGCTGCAAATCTCGCTGTACCGCTACTGGAGACACTCCCCGAACATCAACTGCCTGCTACGGTAAGTGGCCGGCACGGAGGCTGCCTCGCGGGGCCCGTGGTCCCCGAGTGGGGCGAGTTGACACGGCTTGCTGGCTGGAGTGTGTTGTGAAGGGGTCATAGACGAGCACGGTGGACCTCTTCGCAATCCCCATGGACTGTAGCCCACCAGGCTCCTCCGTCCATGGGATTTTCCAGGCAAGGGTACTGCAGAGTGGGTTGCCATTCCCTCCTCCAGGGGATCTTCCCAACCCCGGGATCAAAGCCAGGTCTCCCGCATTGCAGGCAGACGCTTTACCGTCTGAGCCACGACGGAAGCTCCTCCTGTAGGGATTAGCAGATTATTGCTTGAGCATCTGCAATGCGGTGACAACCCACTCCAGTATTCTTGCCTAGAGAATCCTGTGGGCAGAGGAGCCTGGTGGGCTGCTGTCCATAGAGTTGCACAGAGTTGGACACAACTGAAGCGACTTAGCATGCATGCATGCTTGCATTGGAAAAGGAAATGGCAACCCACTCCAGTATTCCTGCCTGGAGAATCCCAGGGACAGAGGAGTCTGGTGGGCTGCCGTCTATGGAGTCGCACAGAGTCAGACACGACTGAAGCGACTTAGCAGCAGCAGCAGCAGGTTCCAGGGCTTCATCAGTGAGTGAAACCCAAGCCCCTGTTCTCATGGAGCTCGAGTGTTAGTGGGAGATGGCAGACAATGAGCAGGTGAACTGGTAGGTGATGAAAGAGAAATGAGCAGGGTCAGGAGGCAGGAGGGGTGGCCTGGGGGGACACTGCTCTTTGAAGGGGAAGATGGGGGCCCTCATAGAAGACTGGCGGGGAGGGGAAGGGAGTGAGCCAAGCGCGAGGCCAGCGGAGGGGCCGGCATCCGTCCAGGCAGAGGGGGTGGCAGGGACGGGCCCTCGAGTGGGGCCTCCTAGTGTTGTTGAAGGGCAGCAAGAAGCCGCCGAGACGGACGGACGGAGCAGGAGGCGAGGCCTCAGAGGCTGGCAGGTCCCTATGGAGTGGGGAAGTTGGGTCTTCATCGACCGTCCTGGCAGAGCAGTGGCACGTCACTCCTCACTGAGACACGGGGGGCACGGGGCAGGAGTCGTCAGGAAGCCAGGCCCCCTGGATACACGGTTCAGTCATGGCTTGGGCCCCTCGGTGACAGGGGTGATGAGGGTGGTGGAGATGGGAGCCGACAGACAGGAGCAAGGTCAGCTTTAAATCCGGGGTGTGCTGCCTGAGCAACTGGGAAGATGGGATTGCTCTTAACTGGGCTTCAAAGGTTTCGGATTCCTGTTAGGGGCCAGATCTGCTGGAAACCACGTTGTTGTAGTTTAGTGGGCATAAAAACTACTTCCCTGTCAACATCATGGTGGCGGTGATTTAGTTGCTCCGTGTCCGACTCTTGCAATCCCATAGACTGTAGCCTTCCAGGCTCTTCTGCCCATGGGATTTTCCAGGCAAGAATACTGCAGTGGGTTGCCATTCCCTTCTCCCTGCAAGCCGCATAGTTGACATATAAGTAGTTCTTTGTTATAATCCGAAGAAAATGTTCATTGTGGCTTGTGTATGTGTTAATGCTACTTGTTGTCTGTTTATAAATTAAACCTTTCTTATTTTGAAATAAGATGTCTTTTTTTGTAGATGTCATAGACGTCATATGATTAAGATATCATATTTATAGATGTTCCTTTTGAGCATCTACATATATGAAGTTAGAGAAAAGTTAAATAATATAACCATGGGAAACTAATATAATCTGTGGAGACAGAAGCCTGGACAAATGTTTCGATAACAGGCAATGAAACTAACAAAACAGGCAAGATATTTTGGTGACCACTAAATTTAAATGAAATCTTCATACAAAGTCCCATTAAAATAAATGCTGAAAATACCGGAGAGAGAAAAAATGGCATCATTGAAGAAAAACGCTTGGCGGCTCAGCAGTCCATTTGCCTCTCCTCCTCCAACGTAAACCACCAGGGAAGATGCTATCTGCATCCCAGGGCCATTCTAGCCTCCAGAGAATGTGGGCACCAGAGGAGGACAGAAAGAACATAGCATCTGGGCGAGCGGAGGTGGGGAGGGAGAGGGGGCGAAGGCCACACCAGCTTCTCTCCCGCCGGGCGTGGCTGGGGCCTCCGCGTGGGCCAGGCCGCTGACCCGGGTCCTTGTCTTGCAGGGTCTGCGGCATCGTTACCACCTGGGCCTTCATCGCGTTTCTCCTGGGAAGAGCTGGCCCCTGAGGGCAGCGAGGCCGCCTGCAGCTCCGTCCTGTCTCCACGCGCCCCCTGCAGGGCTGTGTGTTTACCTCACATCCTCCGTGCACATGGATCGGTCCAGTCCTCACAGGGAACTGTGTTCTGTTTTCAGCGTGAAAAAGTCTGTCAATATTATCACTGATAAGTCCTTTGTTTGTGGCCCAAACGTTTCTTTCTATAAATGACTGAGGGGAAGGAATGTCTCCTGGGCGTTTAAGCTCACATTCCAGAGTGTCTTCTGAAATGACAGCTAGGCATCCAGCGGAGCTGGCCGCTGAGCAGGCCAAAGGCTCTGTTATTTCTGGGAGAGAAATCATTAGCCAGTCAGTTGACAGGGATTTAGGCCTAAGAAACGGCCCGAGTTTTAGTAAAGGGGAAAAGTAAAGCCAAGTGTCCATGTGCACACGTGTTGATCTGTTTTTATTTATTTTGAGGTTTCTCTTTGGGGTATTTTTTTTGTTTTCTGGGTCAAAAATAGTTTTTATTGAAGAGAAAAGACCCCAGCCTACAAAATGTGCTACTTGTAGTTAAAATTTTATGTGTTTAAGTTGCAGAATATAGTATTTCATAGGTTAGAAAAGAGAACAGTTAATATCAGAATCATGGAAAATGCTACGCAGAACAAGTAAATAGGACATCGTATCATTAGATTTGTGTAGTTCAGCTCTAGTGAGTATAAAGGCAGGTTGATTTTCCTTTTCGTTTATATGTTCACTGACTCAGCAAATATTTACTAAACTTCTATAATGCCTAAGATATTAGAACGTGTCTTCTGGATGCTTATGGTAATAATCATTTAGTTTTTGTTTTTTAACTGAGTTGCCATTTATAAAATTACACTTGGCCCCTGATGTTTTGCTGAGAAGTTTCCCCTCAGATAAATAGGGGTAGAGCAGACTAAGGTTTTATGACCCATGTTTGAGATAAATATGATAAACCCTGAAGTGTTCATATTCACTTTGGAAACAAGGTGACCTGTAGCACAGGTATGTGCCCGAGACAGGTAGGATCAGATTCTTTTCTTTCCTCGGCAGTGCCGTGCGCTTCACGTGGCTTTATCGGGAGCTGTTCTCTACTGGGGGTTGACCTTGGCTGGGCTGTGTGCTCAGCCTTGAACTTCACTTCATTATTCAGCAAAGCCTTGAGCTCTGTGCGAAAGAGGCTTTTTCCTCTGTAAAAGCAGAAGTGTTAGAGATGGCAGTCACCCAGAAGAAGCGTTGGGGAGCAGCCGTCCCTTGCTGTCCTGGGGTGTGAGTGACAGGCTCTGACCGATGGGCTGCTGTCCATACAGCCTTCCGGGCAGCTCTTGTGTTCAGACCAGTGAAATGCTTCCCTCGGTCGGGGAAAAGGGCTTTATCCATCTGTCCACACAGCGTCCTAGGGGCATGTGTTTCTTTCTTTTATTTGGCCGCACCAGGTCTCAGCTGTGGCATGCAGGGACTCTTAGTTGGCAGCATGTGGGATCTAGTTCCCTGACCAGGGATCAAACCTGGGCCCCCTGCATCGATAGCACCGAGTTTTAGCCACTGGACCACCACGGAAGTCCTGGGGAACTTTTGTTTTGTTTTTGTCTTCCTGTTGGATATTCCTTTGTGTATGCAATGGAAACTTCCCACTGTTTATGGGCTTTTGGGACCCCATCTCGTGGATGTGAGCCCTGCAGTCACTAAGCAAACCTGAGAAGTGAAAACAGACTTCTCAGCTGAGCCTGTACAGTGACCATGTTGACCTCCCGGGGTCAGGGCCTGAGCACTGAACTGTCTTAGTTCTGCAGTGAGAGACCCTGTAGTGGTTTTATCAGACATTACTCATTTGCTTATTTAACTCTTTGTCTCTTTGTAAGTTGTTGCAGAGTCCCTGCTACGGGCGCCCTCACTCAGCAGGGCCTCCGTGCTATGGTCAGCATCCTGCTGTCCGTCCGTGGGGACCCCGGCTGGCTGCACGGTCTGCTGTCCCTCTTGGAGGAGGCTTTGATAGCGGGACCTGAGCTGCTCAACCCATGACCTCGATGGGTTTCCGTTTACTAACTTCCCTGAGGCTTCTCCCTGAGGCACCGTGTTGGAGGTGCCGAGTCCAGGAAGCGCACTGCTCGTACCACCTCCCGCCCTGTGTCCCCAGACAGAGCCTCGGGATTCGGGGGGCAGCTCTGAGGCTCTTGCCCCCGCTCTCTCCTCAGCTCAGCTGGTTCTTCACGTCGGTGCCTCTTGTGCCGCCCCTTCCCCATCATCAAAGGCAAGAACCAAAGCGAGAAACAGATAAACTGGATCCCCTCCCGTCTGTGTGTATCTCACGTCTCCCTTACCCACTCATTTGCTGAGAGACTTCTGTTGTTTCCTTGTCTTGGCCATGGTGAATAATGCTGCAGGAAACGGTGGGTGTGCACATCTCTCTTTGATGGTTTGTTTTCATTTCCTTTTGGATGTATACCCAGAAGTGGGGCTGCTGGATCATATGGTAGTTTCATTTTTTAATTTTTTGAGAAACCTCGGCATTATTCTCCATAGTGACTGAACCAGTTTACAGTCCCACCAGCAGTGCACACGGGTTCTCTTCCCTCCACATCCTTGCCAACACTCACAGCCTGTTGTCTTTCTTGATAATAAACTCACCTCTATAAGAATGGCTATCTCACTGTCTCATTGTGGTTTTGTTTGTTTGATTTTTTTGGCTGTGCCACTGGCTTGTAGGATCTTAGTTCATTGATCAGGGTTTGAAACCAGGCCCTGGCAGTGAATGCGCCAAGTCCTGAATCTCAACCCCTGGACCGACAGGGGATTCTGTCATTGTGGGTGGTTTTGACTTGCATTTCTCTGACGTGGCTCAGTGGTAAAGTACCCACCTGCCATGCAAAAGGTGTGGGTTCAATCCCTGGGTCAGGAAAATCCTCTGGAGAAGGAAATAGCAACCCACTTCCAGTATCCTTGCCTAGGAAATCCCGTGGACAGAGGACAGAGGCAGGCTACAGCCCACGGGGTCGCAAAAGAGTCCAACACAACTTAGCAACTAAACAACAAAAAACGACGATGGTTAGTGATGTTGAGCACCTCTCATGTACCTGTTGGCCATCTGAAAGTCTTTGTTGGAAGAATGTCTATTTGGTTTCTCTGTCTGTTTTAAAATTGGACTGTTCATTTTTTTCTTTATTGAATTATGTCAGTTCTTTATATATTTGGGGGTGTTAACCCCTTATCAGATACAGATTTATCCCCACTCTCTGAAAGCAGAGCTTTCCTATGAAACCTTCTGAAAGCCCCAATGGAGCAAAGTGAAGAAGCAGTTACCTGAGGACACATGTTGCTCGTAAATGTCTGGATAGATGGGGATAAAGCACAGATGCTCAGAGACAGTGCGAACCATAGAGTGGGGTGCCGAGGTGCTAGAGTGTAGCTCCTGGGGGAGGAGCCTGGTGACGCCAGTCTTGCTCTTGAGGTGACGCTGTCCCTAGGACGTCTTGCTGCAAAACAAATACTGAATGCTGTCTCTGCTTTTTATCTTTTTCCATAAAAATGAAAAACTTGATTCCTTTCAGCTAGGAAAATCAGGTACTAATGTAGGCCTTTTGTAAAAGCAAAGTGGCTTAAAGCCACGTAAAGCAAATCTTCAAAAGGTGGGGGAGATCTGTCCATGGTTGTACAGATATTTCTCCCATTCTGTAGGTTGCCTTTTTGTTTTGTTGATTGTCCGTTTTGCAGCGCAGAAACATTTAAATGAGATGTAGCCCCACGTGTTGATTTTTTTTCTCTTTGTGCTTTTAGTGTCATATCCTAAAATCATTGCCAAGAGCAATGTTGAGAAGCTTCCTCCTTATATTTTCTCCTAGGAATTTGATAGTTTCAGGTCTTAGGTTTAAGTCTGACCTCCTTCGAGTTGCTTTTTGTGTGTGGTGTAAGATAAGGGGTTCATTTCATTTTTCTGTTGCATTCAGTTTTCCTAACACCATTTGTTGAGACAACCCTTTCCCCATTATATGTTCTTGGCTCCCTTAACAAATATTAGTTGACCATATTATAAGACCTTAATTTTATCTTTATCATTCATTATAAGAATTCATGCAAGTCCTCTAGAATGTTTTATGTAGTTAAGAAGGGTAAGGAACTTTCCTGGCGGTCCAGTGGTTGAAACTCTGTGCTTCCACTGCAGGGGGCCCAGGCTCGATCCCTGATCAGGGCACTAAGATCCCACATAGCACAGCCAAAAAAAGGGAGAAAAAAACCAAAGTAGTGAATATTTATAGATGGANCGGTGCTTGGGGCGTCCTGCACGTCCGTGGGAGCCGCCGTGGTGGGGCGGGTGTCACGTGGTGGCCTGGGGATGACCTGCTTCACTGTGCAGGGCGAGAACCGGCGCTGGGGGTGGAGGCGGGGTGCCGCAGGGAGACGTCCCGGAGCCAAGTCAGGAGGGCCCTGCGGGGAGGGCACTGTCCGGGGCCAGGGGTCCATCTCCGTGTGCGCCCCAGGCCCGCCTCCCTGGGGCTGCTCCCAGCTAAAGCTGAGCGGCTCCCCTGTAGGGGGCTCGCCCCGTCGGCCCCGCCCGGCCTTCTGCAAGCGGATCGGGACCCTTCCGCCAGCCGTCCTCCCGCCCTTTCGCCCAGGGTTAGCCTCGCCCGGGGTCTGGCGCCTCCCAGCGGCTGTTCTCGCCCCGTCTCGTCTCACGCAGGCATCTCCCCTCACACCGTCCCTGTATGCGAATCCTACCTTGTTTGCCTCTCAGAGGCCGGGGCCGGGGGCTCACACCCCCTCCTGACACCCTGAGGTCCCAGAGCTACTGTTACATGCAGCGCTGTATCCACTCTGCAGAGCGGGAGGGAGGGAAGGGCTGGGTGGGCGTTGAAATGGCTGAGCTGAGATCTTCACTGTCTCCGTACCTGAAAGAAGCTTTTTAAACCAGAAGAGACGAATACCACTGAGGTGCCAAAATTAAGGATGTTTCCAGAACAAAGCAGTTCCGGGAGTTCATGCTTGGCTCTGAAAAATTCAAAAGGGACGTATTTCTGGATATCTGAATCAGAGGGAATGAAGATCCACCCGGTTCATTGCTCACAGGGCCCTGTCGGGTCACTCTTAAGTTGTGAATTGGGGCGCCCCAGTGACGGGCTCACCTCAGCAACACCTTTGTGATTGGCAGGCTCTGTGTTCCTAGTGGGGTGGAGCTCTGGGAGGGGAATTTCCTCTTAGACTGAACAGTGTCCCTCCCAAAGTCACGTCCACACAGAGCCTTGGGATGTGAAATTATTTGGAAATAAGGTCTTTGCAGATGTAACTGAGGGTCGAGCTGAGGTTACCCCGGATTAAAATACAGCCCTAAATCCCGAGGGTCTCCTAAGACAGACACAGGGGAGGAGGCCGGGAAGACAGGCAGGGAGCAGAGGAGGCCTTTTCTCATAGAGACTCCGTGGGCCACA